TTAAACCAGTCCAAAATGCTGCCTCTGCATCAATGAGGTCTTGTTTGAAAAAGAGGGCTAGTGCTGGGACAGCAGTAAATCTGCCAGCCAGCCTTGGCTAATGTCAGCCTGATGGAGGCTCCAAACCAGTGGGGTGGGATGTTCCGCTACAACCCTCTGCCCTATGGTCTACCGTCATAATTAATATGTTGTTGTATCAAAGTTGAAGCATTTGCCTCCGAAATGTCCCGTGCCCAGCCCCCTTATTAAAGACCTGACCTCCAAGCAGCTGAAGGTTGCTCTACATACTTGGCAAACCCCCGCATGAAAACATCTGCTTTCCTCACAGGCAGGACCGCCACGGACCCCATGTCTCAGCTGGTTCCCACAACTCGGAGAGAGAGCCCTTCCCCTGTCCTCACGCGCTGACCCCCACATTTATAACCCCCACCCCCGCCGCCACTGAGACCTCCTCAAGCCTTAGGCCCAGGCCTGGACCTCTCCATCACCTCACCCTCTCCCCCGTCCACATGTAGTACTGTGCCAGTGTGGTCACTTTACTGCTGAGAGGACTGCTCCTTTCTTGTTATCCCCACATCACAGCCTGTCGAGGGGGAAGGGAGGGGTGGAGGGGGAGTAGGGATGAGAGGCAAGGAAGGCGTGGAGGGAGAGGGGGAGGAGGCATCTGCGCTGCTCCCACAAAGCGGCGACTGTTGGAACGTTGACAGAAGCATCTGTCATCCCCTGCCTTCACACACTCACCTGCTGTCCGAGGGCCTGACTCTTTCTATCTTCCTCCTTTGCTCCCTCCCTCCTTCTCTCCTCGCTCCTGCCTCTCTGAGCTGTCCTTAGTGATTGTGTGAAGCTCTTGGACGCCTCCTTTAGAAATCCCATAAACTGTACCTTCTCCCATTCTTTAATGAATCAGAGCCCTCAGAGCCAGTCCACAGAAACAAATGTGTAGATTTCCCATTAAATACAACTGTGCTGGTATAATTTTAAAGGTTGTTTTGCACACTCCTGAATGATACAAGTTTTTTTCCAATCACCAAAATAATGCTAAAGGTAACCCTCCAACATGCATTGTGAGAGGATGGCCTCTGAACAACATCTATGCAGATATACATGACATTCTACTTTGCCAAGTCCTTGCCAAATTAAGCAGTATTTATGAACAAATATTGCTATGGTGTTAATGAATGTACTGACCTGTCTTGCGACTACTTTATCATTCTCCAGTGGCACCCCCGTCCATTCCCCTAACATGCTGAAGGGTTGCCAGCAGTAAGGGGAAAGATGCCAATCCATGTGTATGACACACACATAAAAAACACACACAAGCTCAAGGACACCATCGCTCACTCAAGTCCAGGGAAGGTGCCCTTCAGATGATGCCACACAGGAGAGTGAGAAAATCCAAAATCAATGATTCTGCACAAAGTTTGAAGCATAACAACCTTTGTAAATTTTAAACAGTATTAATAATTAGGCTGAGAAATGGCAGGTGAGGTTATTTAGAGGAGGTGTTTTCTTTTCTATTCCCTGTAAAGACGTTTTTGGGGAGTTTTTCCTTATTCAAAATGAGGGTTTAAGGATATACGGTGTTATGTGCTGTACAGATTGTAAAGCCCTTTGAGAAAAATAAATAAATAAAATTTAACTTGACTTATAGGTTGATTCTTTGCAGCACACCTGTATATTGTTATTCAAATCAGTATTTAGTATTAGTAGAGGTAGCTTGAAAAGGTTGCTTTATACAATATATGTATGTTGCTTATTTAACTTGCCCAAAACAGAACATGTAGAATATGAATTTTTAAGTGATACTTCACACTTTATTTGGTTCTTGTAAATCTGAGTCTAAAATGAATATTTGAAATTGACATGTGATAGCTTCACTCTGCTTTTGGATACTGTTTTAGCCAACTCTCTATTGGAAGTTTGTTTCAAACCTCAGCTGAGAGTCTGTGGCTCTGTCTGTTGATCTGGCCACACAACCAGTGATGGAAAAAGTATTCAGACCACAGAAATACCACCGTTTGATAATACTTCATTACAAGATCCATAAATGCCAAAAAATCTATTTCTTCATCTATACCAATGCATTTTTTATAAGCCAATCATGTTTTGCATGTAAGATCTGAATCTGTCAAAATAATGTGTAACTAAAGATGTCAAATAAATGTGATGGAGTAAAAAGTACAATATTTCCTTCTGATATGCAGGAGTAGTATAGCATGAAAGTAGCGTGAATGGGTTCTGAAATATAGTACTTACATTTCCTGTTGTTTTGGGTTTTTTTTTACACCTTTATCCAAAGCGACTTACATTTGAGGAACAGCAGACAAGCATTAATAAAGCATCAATACAGTAAGAGAGTTACTAGTGAAAATAGAGACCAAGAGCAGCAATATGTATAATAGCTATTAGTGTGCATGGCATCAGTGGGGTAAATACCTATAGAGAAAAGTACTGTAATTGATACAAGAGAAATATGAGGAGATGAGAGAGCACAAGAAGTGCATGTTAGAGGTTGGGGGTGATATAAGATGAAGTGTACTTGAGAACATGCAGTTTCCTGAAGCTAGTAAAATAGTGCATTCATGACATATGCTGAACATTTATCTATATCTAACCCCTCTCAAAAACATCCACTTATTTTTATTGCTCATGAACCAGCACATTTCACTTTGACATCAGGTCTCACCTGAGAGCCTGCGGCTCACCTGCCTGCGTGGCTCTGTGCTGGTCAGGCTGCTGCTATTGTCTGTGCAGCAGTTCCAAAGATCTATGCTTCCCTTTTCTGGGTTGTCTCATTGCTGCGATGGCCAGAGGGCAGCACTAAAGCAGGGAGGTGATTTTGAATGCCACTGGTCATATATAAAGTAGCTTCTCTCAGCGTGTGAGCGAGGACACTGCGAAGAAGAGAGGCAAGTTAACAAATGAGCGAGGAAGGATAGCAGGACTTTGTGTCCCTCTGAGACAGAGTGGGTTGGGATGTTCTGCCAACACATCGTCTGCCAGGGTGAAGGATACACATTCACATTTATATCACACACACACACACACACACACACACTGTCATCTCTCTATAGCTCCATCCCTGGCCTCGGTTACAGCCGTGTGTCTGAGCAGGAACCCCACTAAGCTGGCTGGGGTCCAACACCAAGGTCTCTCACCTCGCAGGCTGGGCAGGGGGCCTGGTAGCTCCTGTGAGTTATTCCTGGGCATGGACCTGGGTCCCACCTCTCTCGTCTCCTTTTGTCTCATCCACTCTCATCTGGCCCATCCTGGTCTCCTCTTCTCCCTTATCCCCCTCTCTGGGACCCTGTGGCTGATGAGCCTGTCCTTCAACTATATCAGCATCTTGTATTGTCTTTAACACACACGCACACACTTGGATTTATGTAAGCTTGCATGTGGATCTGTATGGCCACAACTGTTGAGGTCACCTTCATGTGCTTCCACCATCTGCAGTGTTTTATGAGTTTAAAGCACTTCAGAGCCTGGCGGACTTATGGAAAGACTCTTGATTATCCCATGAACGTCAGTCTGAATACAAAAAAAACATTAGGCAAACAAACAACCTAACAATTATTAAGAGAAAGATTTGGATCGCGATTAGAACTGAAAAAACAGATTGAAAATTGCTTAATCATTTCATCTAAGTTTTTTTCAAGCAAAACTGTCAGACATTGTCCAGTTCCAGCTTCTCAAATGTGAGACTGTGCCGCTTTTCTGTGTTTTATATCACTGCAAATTTAATATTGTTTTGTTTTAGACTGTTGGTCAGACCATAGAAGACATTTGAAGACAAGATCAATTTGGGATCCAGAAAACTGTGATGGCCATTTTTCAGTCATGTCTGACATTAAATAGATCAAACGATAAATCAAGGAAACAACTGTCAGATGAATTGAAAATTAAAGTTGCAGGCCTAACTAGAAATAAATTGGTTATAACAATAATAAGGCATATAACATGAGTTTGTGAAGATGGTCCCGAGTTCAGACAATAAAGTAGATCGGAAAGAGCTATTACAGATACATTATGATTTGCAGAGTATGAAAACAAGTCCTCTTTCCATTGGTGGTTTGTTTGAACATGCACTGCAGTAGTAAAACCACAGTTGAATAAGTTCAAAAACCAGATAAGGGGTTTTGGGCATTCCATACCTGATTTTAAAATGAAATAAAAACCAGGCAAAGCATAACGCGATCTTGCTATTCTAATACTTATGTTCCAAATAGCTAATCCTGGACAGCAATACATCACTTTTGCTTACACTTCATGTAAGGCCTGATCTTTCCACAAGAGGTCACTGAATCTCCAACCACAGTCAGGATGTCAACAAGGTATTTAAAAAAAGATGGCTCTGTTTTGTCATTAAATGTGTCCATAAATCGCTGGTGGACACTCATACATAGAATAGACCTACACAATTCTTTGAATGTTTGTTAAGGATTTGAGATTAAAGTGTAACAAAAGTAAACAAAGAAGATTTATTTATTTATTTTACAGGGAGGGAAGCCATGTTCTTTGTCTTACTGATAACCACTAAGATAAATCTATACCTAAATTAGTCCTGGAATAATCCTACATGTTGCTGGATCCTGCATAGAGTGGCAGCCTCAGCATCAGTACCAGGCAGGTCAGAGGAGCAGCTGCAGAGCTCCCACTCCGATCCTATTTTCAAGGCACCAAGTCCGACCAAGATTTAAATGATCGGGTGAGAGCGCATGCGTGTAAATCGACGCCCACTTTTTTCAGACGCGTCCGTCAACCTAAATGTAGTGGCAGTAGACGATCTTTACAGCAGCGAGATGCTCAGCATGGTTAGTTGCACAAATACTTGACCCCATTAAATCCCTATTTGGCGTGGTTATGACTCCCACTATAACTTCACAAGCACTCCGTATTTTTCTAAAGTGCCATAAAGCTTTAAGCTCTGCTTCTCTAAAACAAAAAATACAATTGACATGTCATTGAAATCGACTCCCCCCCGCCCTGGCATGTAATGGTACAGTCTGTCGACGTCCTGCGCGGGAGCGGAAAACGTGCATCCGATTGTGGAGCGAAAGGATCGGTGTTTTTTTCTGGTAAATTTTGAGCTGTTACAACACTTTGTTGAAACATCAATTATATCCTGCTTTCTTACAGACGTCTGCACAAACTAGAGGTCAGTGAAGTGAAGTTTTTCAGTTTCGGTAGCATTAACGCAGCTACAACAAGCTGGCTAGCACGTCCGTTTGTTGATATGGCGTTCTGCTCCGCTTTCATCTTGTTCACGCTTGTTAGCTCAGCTTTTAAGGACGCTGATGTCAGTGACATTAGCTTGCGCACATTCACTGTGTGTGCGTGAGAGAGAGAGAGAGAGAGACAGGAGTATTTTGTCACACTGAATGTTGAATATAATGTTTGAAAGAACTATGGAGCCCAAAGGATGTTGGTGGTGTTCAGGGGAGGGGCACTGCATGGACACGTTTACATACGTTTTACATGCCTGAGTATATGTCAGTTACCATAACATTGTTTTATGTGACTTCCCATACGTGCAAATATGTTAAGGTGTGTGTTTACATGTCTTCGTTTTCCAGCTTGGTAATACGTTCAGCATGGCTCCGGATTGGAAACCTGGTGATCTGATCTTTGCCAAGATGAAGGGCTATCCACACTGGCCTGCAAGAGTAAGTCTAGGCCTTTTTTAAATATGGGCAAAGTCCTGCAAATGTATTTATATAGAACAGTTAATTACTATTTAAGTCAACGTGCTTAACATGAAAATGCAGGTGCAACCTCCCATCCACCAAAAGACAGCAAATGACTCACATCCACCCCACAGAAGCAAACCACAGACACAAACAAACCTTACTAATCCCACGCCAGAGAAAATAGAAACCTTTTCCGTTTGCCTTTGAATGTGAACACGTAAGTAAATACCTGTTTTTTCCTAATTTCTCTACCAGATCGATGAAGTCCCAGACGGTGCTGTGAAGCCATCAAATATCAAGTTCCCCATTTTCTTCTTTGGCACCCATGAAACGTTAGTACCCGACTGCTAACAGTCTTTATTTGCTTTAGTGTGATGGGCTTTATTGTGCCTACTTAGTTGAGGTAGCATTTAATGTTTCCCTAAGTCTAAGTGGTCAGAAGAAATAGAAAGTAATGCAGGAAAACTTAAATCACTTATTTTGTGGTCAGGTAAAACTGATGTAGGAAATTGTATTGCCAATAAAAAAAAAAAATGGTGGGAAAAAGTCAATTCCGCGCTTAATTTGAGTTGTCAGTGTGAAAGTTTACACAACACACCAGCCTTCCAATAGGATTACCATGTCAAGGTATCTTATCCTTGATGCGGGTGAGCAATTCATTTAATGTTAATGGAACATTTTTTGTCTCCAATAAACTGTGAAAGTGTACATTTTGATATTATATTGGAGTTTTTAGATTGTAGTATAGTGAGTTCACGACATAGAAAGGATTTTAAATGGCTGCATTTATTGAGAGCTTTTATTCAGTTTTATTTATTGAGCTCTCATTGTGTTCTACTGACAATGTTTCTTAAAATACATAAATGTTTTATCAGTGGCTGAATAGAGTTACCTGTGTTTTTTGTCTGTGTGCTGCTGCTCCATTTCACAGTAAACACACACACTACATTTTTATGTTTCAGAAAGTGTTAAATGAAACATTCTGGATTATCTTCTTTCAAACAGTGCCTTTCTCGGCCCAAAGGATATCTTTCCGTACCTGCCCAACAAAGAGAAGTACGCCAAGCCCAACAAGAGGAAAGGCTTCAATGAAGGATTGTGGGAGATTGAGAACAACCCCAAAGTTGAGCTCACTGCACCCAAGGTACATCTTCCTCCTCTCTGTCTCCTCCATAGACATTTTTCAGTATTTATCCTCCCGACGTTGGCTTCAGGCTTCGACTGACGGTACCTCAGATCCTGCTATATCCCCGAGTCTGACAGTTTTATTGTCACTTGTGTTTACTTTTATCCTGGCTATCAAAGTCTGCATTAAGTGGCCCGCCAAAGTGTTTTTATATTAATAGTAGTTTGGAGATACCTGAGAGAAATTGGGTTACACAAAAACTAGCATTGCTTGGGGACAAAGTTCTGCTGAAGAAAAAAACTAGCAGCCAACATTTACTTTGCTATGCTAATAAACTGTTGCTTGAAAAGTTGCATGTAGGAACCTCAAACACACAAAAGTAAATTAGATTTCTCGGTTCGTCCATGTTAGGTTTGGCCCCTTTCACGAATCTTATGCCAAAACATGTTGTGCTAATTACACAACATTGATGCATTTGTAATTGCAGCTTAGGGAGGAGTGTAGGAAATAATTTACCATATAAAATCTTGTTTTGCCTGACACCCCAAGTTTTACTTCTTCAGCTACATGTTGGACTAGAAAACCTTCAACAACTAAAAAGTCTGAAACGTGTACCAGCTGGTGGCTGACATAAAAATGCTGAGAAAGGGCTTACCCTGAAATATCCTTGCACATTGAATAAAATTTTTTGCAGACTTTTGTATCTGTTCTTGCCGGATACTTTTCTGCCCAGTCGGCTACTTTATTCTTAATTTGCTGGATAAAATTCGTTTTGGTCAGTCTGTAAACGTTTTACGTCCTGAAGAAAGTTATCAAAGAGAGAAAGAGACATTCCAATAAATCGACCCGTTTTCTCCTCTGAATAGGATGATTGACATTGACACAGCGTTCAGCAGGCTCAGCAAAACCAAATGTCATTTCAGTTTATTACAACTAGAATGAATAATTTTTTTTTTTTTTCAATTCAAATGATTATTTAGTCATAGCTTTGTGATAAAAGACTTAAGTATTCACTTATATGAGCAGATTTAACTTTTAACGTAATACTTTTTTGTTATTGTAAGCCTGGCTTTGAGTTTGTCATGTCCTAGGATGGCCTGGCCTGACTGGGCTATTTTTTCAGGGAAATTTGTCAGCACTGGTCTCTCACATGTATTTACAAGGAGAAGAACGCCTGATGTATGCTCATGTCCATTCCTCTGATATTATTGTTTGTACATAGCTGGTTTAGAGTGTCCTAGTTATTGTGTTTTTGCCAGTTTGTTTCATCTAACCAATGAATTATTCTATGTTTAAAGCCGGTCCCCCCAGAATCTTTCACTGAAAAGGATATGGACAGCAGCCAAGAGGGAGAAGATGAAGCAGATGACAAGGGAATAAAATCCAAAGTAAGCTCTTACTCTTCAAATCTGTCATTCATTAGTAAATAAACACAGTTGCTTCACTGCATTGACATGCTACTGGTTTGTTCCTGTGTTGTCAGCTTGTTTGTCGCTGTTTTTCTCTTATCTTTCTGTAACGTGTGTCTGCCTCACACTGATTTACGTATCAGTGCAGGCAATAGCCTACAAATTGATGGTTTAATTCTGTATTAATAGATTAAAAGGCTTGCACGCTAAGAGTAGTGTGTGGAACAGTAGGATACTCGCTAACTTTTCTCCCTTTCAAGACTCGCTTTACCCCACCACACTGCGTCCTATGCTGTGTCTTGGGTGCATTCAGGTTCCAGGAAGTGAGGCTGAGCAGGAGAATGAGAATGAGGAGGAGGAGGAGGAGGAGGAGGAGGAGGAGGAGGAGGAGGAAGGGTCTCTGATCTCTGAGCAGAGTCCTCAGAACCAGGATGTACGTACTTTGCATGCAGGGGTCCCATAATTTGGTGCAGGGCGCCTCATCCCTTCCCCGTGGGAAAGCATGTGACACTTGGTGGTTTTTCAGTTGGTGGTTTGTTTCTGTTTGACTCAGAGTTCTTGTTGGCGGCCACAAACTTGCATTGGTGCTTGATTTTTTGATTAGAGTGACTTATCTGGGTTTGCTGTGTTAATGCCTCTGAGGTGATAAATTACCTATAAAGAGAGTACTTTTTTTTTTGAGGACACAGCCCCCGCGTTGCCACTGAAAATAATTTACATGTTAAAATGTTATCAGGTAAGCACAGCTGGCTCGGATTCAAATTGATTTAGGTATGGGATATTGACTCTGTGTGTGACCATCTCAAAAACAATTGGAAAGTGGGTTTTCTTCTTCTCTGTTTAACCTCTCTGAGACCACCCTGACAACATGTGTTATTGCTTTCCATTTCCTGCCTATTCCTTCATAAAACTATTGTTTGCAACTGGTTGATGTTATTTTATTTTTGCATGGCTTTCTGTGTGCTTTGGAGGAAGGTAAGTTGTGACCCAGTTTTGTATTTCAACATTTCTTCTGCTGTCATAAGCTGTGTCCCAATTCCCAATATATAAGTATACCCAAAAAGTTAATGAATATTAAATGATTTTTGAGTCTGCTGTTAATTTATACTATTGTTCCAGAAGCAGTGTATAAAGAAAATGGAGGAGCTGCTCACAGTTGAGGAAGAAATGTATTGTAGTTTAATTTCTATGCCATTCCAAAGTCAGTTTGATTGACGACTGCTGGCACATGTCACATTGGTCCAATGAAAGCCATGTATATTCTTTTTGACAAACTGAAGGATTACTTGTTCCTTTTTATGGGTTTTATTGTCAGCTGAAAACTTGTTTCTTGTTTCTTCACTTGTGCAAAGTTGATGTATAGTTGGTTTTCACAGGACAGTGATGATGTAGACAAAAACTGTATACTTTAAATATTAATATAAGTATACTGTATTCAATTAGTGTGTTTGGAATCTGGATACAGCCGTTAATAAAACACTGGAACATTTATTACAGTAAAGAGTGTAATATCACAGTTATACACTAGATGGTGCTATTGATCCAAACTACAAGAGGATGGTTTAAAAAAAAAAAAAAAAAGATCAAATTGTCCACATGACATGTTTACCTGACTTTCATTTTTAGCAGCCCCTGCGTGAACTTCAAAAAAAGTTAGTATTGTATTCTGTAATAAAATTAACAAGAAGTGTCGCATTTTAGGTCTCGGCACTGAAAGAATCCACAGATGTTCCTAAATCCAAGAGAGGAAGAAAGAAAAAGGTTGGTAGTATTTCTTAGTGGGCTTACTTTTAGTTATCCTATAATCTATCAAATGTGTTTCATAAAATTAAACGTTTTATATACATTTATTTTATAGAGTGATGTTGACCAGGAGACTGAAAAAGACAGTGCAGGTGCTAGTCCTATTAGCCCCTCAGGTAAGCTGTATTCCCTGTGATGTGGGTATTTGTCATGCTGTTTATGGCTTTCTGCTCTTAAGAAGATAAATACAAATTTTATTTTAACTGTAAGTGGAATTCTTGGCATTCAGCTCTCCTTTTGCATAAACTGGGTGTGTGGTGTTTCTGTGTCCATGTGAGCAGGTGCAGAGGCTCCTAAACGAAGAGGCAGGAAGCCCAAAAGTGAGAAGTTACTTTTGCTCCAGCAGCAGGAGAAGCAAGGCTCAGGAAGTGAAATGTAACTAAATGAAAATGAACACACAGTGCAAAATCCACTACCTTTTACCCTGCATTTGCCTGGGCTGCGGACCCACAACGATCTGTTTCTGCAAGGAAAACATAATGCTATAATTCTTTAGGTTTGTCACATTAGCAAAGCACTATAGAGAAACTGTGGTCAACCAATATGAGTTTTTCGATAGCTAATGCAAGTATTTAGAAAGCAGGGAAGTCGATGGCCGATACATAATGCCGATAACAAATAAATAAGTCATGTATAATTTCATTAAGCAACAGGGGCAGCTTATTTTAAATTATGCAGAGCCGCCCCGTTGCCTTCACTCCGTGGTCAATCAGTGGACATTGTCAGTTGTTTTAAGTATTTAGGTACACATATGGACGAGAAATTGAGTTTCACTGAAAATGTTGATTCCATTTGTAAAATAGCCAGTCAGAGACGGAGAAACTGAAGGAGTTTTGAGTCAAAGTGTATGTCAGCCTAATTAAAGAGTATTCTCATGATAAATATCTCTGTCTAGTTTGGACATCTAAAACTTATAAACAATAAACAAGCTGTCCGGGATCGTCAAAACAGCAGGGAAGATAATAGGCCAGCAACAAATGTCACTGGATGGCTTCTACAGTACAGCTCCACATAGGAAAGCTGTGTCCATAATTGGTGACACTAAACACCCTCCACCCCCATACTGAGTCTGAGTACTTCTGGCAAACAAAAAGATGTATAAGAGATCCTTTCTACCTAGTGTAATAAACCTAATGAACAAACTGGACTTACCTGCAACTTTCCGCACAGAAAGCATATTGTACACTGTTTGTACGTTGTGTTAACTGTAGTGATGTGTTGAGAAGTGCGGCATTGATTGACGTTATAGGATGTGTTTATTTGTCTGGTGAGACCTTGAGTGAGATGATTTTCCGGCCTCGTCTGAACAATAAATTTGTGTTCTATTCAATTCCATGCAGAGTACAATCTAATACGCATGGTTATCTCAGCCAGTAACTTGTTGTTTCAGATGGAAACTATTAATGAATCAAATAGAAAAACACATTGGGTTATGCTGTAGATTTCAGAACGTGACTAGTGTTTAAGAGAGAATGGGGTACAGTTTGTCAGAAGTGACGTCATGCAGCTGCATTATTCTCTACAGTATAACAATATATATTTTTAACACTAGCCAGTAATAGTTTTAGATTAGACTTGCTGTCATTTAGGGTGATATATTGGCCTCGAGAGTGCAGGTATCGGCCGATGACCCAATTAATCACTAATAGGATAATGACCCTTAAATGCTCGTGTCAAGATGCAAAGACCAATAGAAGTGCTCCTAGTTCAACCGATCAGACCAAAGCAAAGCTCTAAACTAAGTTTGCCCTAAACTTGCATTTATAAACAATATTAGTTGAAATGGGAGTGGGCTGTGCTTATGGGCGCTTTCAGCTTTACATTTAAACTGTTAGTCATTACAGTTACATTCTCATAATCTCTAGCGTGAGGTGAATGTAGTTTGTAGTTCAGACATTAACTTATCTTCTAAGCCTCTTAAAATACCTTTTCTCTCCCATTTAGGGACACTGCTGAGTCAGACAGAAAGAGAAAGAGGGCACCAGAGGACAAGTCCAAGAGTGGAGATGAGGAGAAGAGAAAGAAGGAGGACGGCAAAGGAAAGGATGCGGAGGGGAAGGAGCCTGAAGCAAAGAGGAAAAAGCCAAACAAGGAGGACAGTTCATCAGGCTCTGACAATGAAGAGGCACGTTTCCAGTCTACACAAATATCTTCACAGTTTGAATTTGTCTGTGTGACACACCAGACAAAGGTATCTTGTTGAACAGGATGATGCTTTCATGTACACAATTTTGTTCTTTTTTAATCTCAGAAAAACAAAGGCAGAAAGAAACACCAAAACTCAGAAGTGGACAAAGATGTGCGGCGGCGGAAAGTGGATGAACTAAGAGAGTATGTATACACACAATGCCAATTAGAAGTTCCAAGAGACAAAATTATGTCCTCATAGTATTTATTCTGATCTGACCAACAGCCAACAATCCAAAAGTATGTAATTTACAATTATATGAAGAGCAAAGCAAAGCTAACATTTGAGAAGGAATAACCAGAAAATGTTAATTAATGGTATTTAAACTCGAGGAATGACTAGATTACTAAATAGGTTAACTAAACAAGTTTCATTTAATATCAGTTACTCATGTTGCCCTGTTTATGACACTGAGATTTAATTGTAGAAAATCGTTACGAGAGGAATGGATAGATTTCTAACATGTGGTTATTCTGTCTTGCAGGCCAAACAAAGATGATGGGAAGAAAAATGAAGAAAGGACAGGAGTCAAGAAAAAGGGTGAGTACTGTAATTCAAATACTTGAATGAGAATAAGATTATCTTAACATAAAACTATTTGAAGCCAATAAAATGAAAGATATTGTTAAGAGTGACTGATGTCACAATCATCAGTGCAGCTGAGTTGAATAGAAAAACTGGGAAAGTTGAAGCTTTTTTGTTATTATACAAAACACTATTGCATTTAATATGTATGTATTAAACTAAATAAGAAATAAAAAAGTTAACTATAATCTATACACTCACCAGCCACTTTATGAGGTACACCTTGCTAGTACCGGGTTGGACCCCCTTTTGCCTTCAGAACTGCCTTAATTCTTCGTGGCATACTTTCAACAAGGTGTTGGAAACATTCCTCTTTGGTCCATATTGACATGAAAGCATCACGCAGTTGCTACAGATTTGTCGGCTGCACATCTATGATGCGAATCTCCAGTTCCACCACATCCCAAAGGTGCTCTAATGGATTGAGGTCTGGTGACTGTGGAGGCCGTTGAAGTACAGTGAACTCATTGTCATGTTCAAGAAACCAGTTTGAGATGATTTGAGCTTTGTGACCTGGTGCATGCAGGCTGTCGCTTATAGAAAATGCTCCATTGGTACTAAGGGGCCCAAAGTGTGCCAAGAAAATGTCCCCCACACCATTACACCACCACCAGCCTGAACCATTGAGACAAGGCAGGATGGATCCATGCTTTCATGTGGTTTACACCATCTGAATGTCATAGCTGAAATCAAGTGTCATCAGACCAGGCAACATTTTTCCAATCTTCGATTGTCCAGTTTTGGTGAGCCTGTGTGAATTGTAGCCTCAGTTTCCTGTTCTTAGCTGACAGGAGTGTCACCCGCTGTGGTCTTCTGCTGCTCTCCGTAAACCCTAGAGATGGTGGTGCGTGAAAATCCCAGTAGATCAGCAGTTACTGAAATACTCAGAACAGCCCATCTAGCACCAGCAACCATGCCATGTTCAAAGTCACTTAAATCCCCTTTCTTCGGGATTTTACCTTGCATTATAAGAATTTTCGCCCACAGCACTTAAGCCAAACAAACAGAAGAACTATGCTGTTGTGATTTGGTGTTTACAGGTGCTGCTTCTGTCCTCTTTGTCTGTGTTTCTGTGAGGGCGGGGCTTTGCGGCTTCTTCTAGCGCACACACACACACACACACCGTCATTTTGAAGTCAGCACGCTAGCAAGAGCTCATCACTTCAAACAAACTCTCAGAAGTGAAACCACATCAGCAGATATAAGATGCGAGCACGATGTAGATTTTGTGGCTGTTTGGGCGAAGTCAGATATTCTGTAACTTAAAAAAATGAAGTTAAGTCTGGTCAAGCTTTGTAAACAAGGAGGTTACCCATGTGAGAGTAGTCTCTTTCAGACCCCCTTATACTGTGTGTTGAGCAGCATATGGAGGCTGTCAAGTAGCCTAATAATCTGTTTTAATTTTAAACAGGCAAACGACACCACTTTCCGTAACACACCCACTCCGCCCACCCCTGAAAAAAAAAATCCTGGGGGGAAACACTGAGTATATTTCTTTCTTCCTATCTACTGTGTGTGTATACAATACAATTGCCCTTACAGGGATAAATTAAGTTATATGATTTAACTGAATCAAAATAAAGGTAGTAGTGGGAATCAGGATATTGCTCTAATGTGCAAAAAACATGGTACAGTTAGTTTAGTGCAAAAAAGAAGTAAAACCATGATACTGTGCAGATACGGGGCACATGGGTACAGTTTCCAGGTTTCTTTATAATAACCCTTTGTCATTAGCTTGGAACTCCTGTAGAAGCTTGCGGTTTTCAAAGACAGCTAAGTCAAACAAAGCAAAGTGATTAGATGACCATCAGACCTACGGAATTGAACTTTAAAGTGTGGTAAACTAATGTCATTTAAAGTCATTATTTCATAATTGATCCTTCACAGAGGTTTTTTCCTCCCTGACTACATAAAGGTGGCCTCCCTGTTGGGTCGCGCCTGATCTTCAGGCAGGGGAAACATATATAATTCTTACATTCAAACTTGATTCAAGTTCTCTCTAAAGATAGTAACGGAAGCCAAACCATTTTCATCATAATGTTTTCACATCTCTTTCCTTTTCCACAGAAATGTCAACTGACTTGAAACTCCAGAGACTGCACAGTGAAATCAAGATTTCACTGAAAATTGACAACCCTGTAAGTCTGTGTCAGATCATTAATACTGTACATCACAACTAATACAAGTCCATCTTTCTCCACAGAGAACTTTATTGCAATATTTCATGTATCCCAGGGTAAAATAAGTGAAACACAGACTCAGTTGTCTACATGACAAAACAATTTCTATAGCTTTGACACAGGCAGCTGGTCATTGTCGTGAATTTACTGAGACAGAGCCAGGCGCAGTTATCTGTGACACCCATGGACATGTTTTAACATTTTAAAGAAAAGAGAAGGCAATGAACTCCCTCTTTTCAACCATAGCCAAATAGATACAGCAAATACTATCAATGTTCATCTTGTGTGATCTAAAACAAAAATAAGTGTCCATTATTTTAGTCAGGGACTTTCGAGTTATGTCCTGAATTAGGACAGTTTTTGAACACTGTTTGACATGCCTCCCTCAGGCAAGCTTTATTTTGCTATATCTGGGTACTGTGATTTTGATGTTTTGTACCTCAGTATTAACCCCGGCACAAACTATATAATAAGATACACAAACAAATAAAAATTTAATAATTGTCTGGAAAATTTTCAATATTCATACAAATATATTGTACAAATGCATTAATTAGCTCTATTTTTCCCAGTTCTTTTTAAATGTATTCTCTTTAACTCAAGAGGTATGTAAACTTAACAAAAATGTCTTACTTGGATTTCTGGTAACTTAATTACTTACTAGATGTCTTCTCTCATCACATCTTCAATGTTCCCAACATACATCACAAGGCGGGTATTTGGGATTTCATATCCCAAAATATGTTTAACAACTAACATTGCCCCAATATAGCCGTATCTTTGTACAATCCCAGAAAATAAGCGAGTGGCCAGCCTCCACCTCCCTGTCTCCAACAGTGTTGTGCAGCAAGTTTCCTGCTATTTGTTTTGGGTGCGAGTTAAATTCTTCCAGCAGAATTCCCTCCATACTAGTGAGCTTGTGGAAGTACATTGTGTCTCTCACATTTGATACCATTCTTCCTCTGTTATTTGAATCTTAAACTCTGCTTCCTATTTTGCTTTTATGCAGAGCATTGTTTCCTTCTGCTTCCTCCCAAGCAGGGAAGTTTCATCTTGTTCCGACGTTATCTCTTTTGTAAAGTGGTCTCTTAACTGCAAGTATTGAGACTATACTTTGCATTTAAATCTTAAAAAGTCAACAATTCATAATTTTCTAAAACCACACACGTTGGCGTTATGCCGTATTTGTGCCCATTTTTGCATCCAACATTGGAACATATATGGCTTTAACTCTGAGTCCTATGTAAACCTGTTTGTCTTTTTCTACTAAAATATTCCATGTTTCTAACGTAAATGCTGCTATTGGATCCATATAATGTCTCAAAGCCTGGTCTCTCACCAAGATCTGGGTCTGGTAACCCTATATAACACCATGGTTAAGTTTGATAATTAACATTAGCTACATTTCTTCATTATTGCTCTATGTATTTACTTGGTTTCCTTTCTTTCTTTATTTTTTGACTTCTAAATGCCTTTTCATATATTTTCTTGCTTCAATGCCACTTTTTTTTCTGTCCTGCCCCCACCCCACTAGGATGTGAAGAAGTGTCTGGAAGCATTAGATGAGATTGGTGCCCTTCAAGTCACAACTCAGCACCTGCATAAACACAGTGAACTTATTGGCACGCTCAAAAAGGTAGATTCACTCATCCAAAATCCATTTAAAGTAAGACAGTTTGAAACTGAACACACAAACTACCCCAGGGTGTGTTTCTAAGCACTTTGTTGAGTAGTGATGCATGTTTCTATCCGTCTTCTAGATTCGCAGATTCAAGGCCAGCCAGGACATCATGGACAAGGCCACCATGCTGTATAACAAGTTTAAGAGTATGTTTCTGGTTGGAGAAGGTGACTGCGTGCTTAGCCAGGTGCTCAACAAGTCTTTAGCGGAACAGCGGCAGCACGAGGAAGCCAAGAAAGGAGCACTGAAGAGGGTGGAACAAGTCAAGGAAAACAACTCAGGTACTATTTATCACAAATTGAATCATTTTCCTTGTAAGATGTTTTTAACTCACTTCAGAGTAAAATCATTAGAAAATATATAACACATAGCGTGGACAGGAAGTTATTAGTTCGTCCATGGTGCCTGTTTCAGTTGGCTGGAACACACGCATACAGACAGGCGAGGACACTTGGTGTACACGTGATTTGTTCAGTAATTTCTATACAAACGTCTCCTTTTCTCCTTAAACCCACAAACATGAGTTTTCTCCAAAAAATTTGAATTGAATACAATAAATGTGGAAGTATCGACTTATAATGCTTCTGAACACATTAGATAATGTCTTCTGGAGTTCACATTGATTATTTGTCTAAATAATGTTAAATGTTCTGCACATTTGAGCACGGAGTGAGTGGTTAAAGGTTGATTAGTACTCAGGGTTTGGAGGAATTGCTGGAGGTGCGACATCACCCAGACTGAAGTAAGCACCTGCAGCTCTTAATCTTACTAATTTTTTTTTTTTTTTACCAGCACTCTCTTGCTGGAGTATAGCTATAGCTGGAGTATGGCTACAGTATTTCTGTGGAGTTTTTAGGGGATTTTTATTCTGTTGGTGTTTTTGTCAGTTTGTTTAACTATCAAGCACGATTCTTGCATTACACACACACACACACACACACACACACACACACACACACACACGACATCACAAGGGCTTGGTATAGTTTGGAAATGTCCTTATCAGTGCCCTACAATTGTTACCGATGGCAAAATATGTCAAACTATACATTTTGTTGGGGAATAAAAACATGTTTTCATTAACAAAATATGTCAAATAAAAGTAACTTAATAAAATGTTGTTAAAAATTTGGATAAATCAGGAAATATCTAATCAAAGAGTAAGCACGCACACCTAAGATCCTGACAGAGCAAAGTTGAAAATCCTTAGCCCCACAAATCACTATAATGAATCTCTATATATCACAATATCTCTACCTATGTGATGTGACCTTGGATGATGCACTAGTGAGAGTATTTACACTGAGTACATCTGCACATAATATATCTGTTTCTTTTGGGCTCAGCCAAAGAAGACTGAGATTGTTTTAACAGACGCACTGGCTGAGGTCTCATTGTAATGCAGGGGGAGCACTTTACTAACTATTGTTATTATTACACATGGATATTACTAGGAATTGCTGCTAGAATAAAAGGAATCTTGCGGGTGAGCTATTTTGAAGCTTTTAATATAACAGCACAGTTGTAACAGTCCACTGGTTATAAATTAATTATGATCAGCTAAGTCACATTATGAAAACAAATCAGATAACATTTGTTCTGTCCTTTACAGGAGGGGGTCATAAGACCTCTGGTTGACATTCTCAGTGACTGTAATCAGAGCTCTGCAGCCACATCCTTGCTCTTTTAACTAACTAAATTGAAAGGTCTCTTTCAGCACAGCATGCCCAATGGATGGAAAATTGTATTTATTTTGGTAAGATCTGGAGCTGGGCATGTGTTATCACATGCTCCTGTGAGTTCTCCTCTATGCGGTGGTTTAGGTTGTGTAGTGATGTTTTATCTGACGTGAGTCTGTGTCTCATGTGTGTGCACCACCTAAAGACAAAATGACAAATGGTGATATCAGCCCTGAAGAGAAGAAGCAGGAGACGGAGAGAGAGAAGCTTCCTGAGGACGCCTCAGTGGGAGAAAATCACAGGTAGTTTACACATATACAGACAACAGTGAAAGGATTGTGATGCCTTAACTGTCTATAGAAAAACTGAAGAAAAGCACTGGTGTAAATGTATTTTGGTCTCTGTTTTAGTATATGACAGGATAATAACAGTTACAGTATAAAACCTACACCATAAAGGATAAAATCACAGAGGGGCACAGAGGAAGAAGAACACTGCCAGTACTGTCTTAACCCATTTGTTGTTTTTTTTTGACTGTAGTGCCCCAAAAGCTCAGGAAGAGTCCACTTAAGTGTCGTACATGCCTGAAGAGAAGACATTTGCTGCTGTACAACTGGGCTGACCAACTGGGATCTCCTGTCCAGTTCCTTTTGATGACTGATAACTTGTTTCCAGTTTACTGACCGTTTCCGTCAGTGCTGCTACTCAAAGGTTACAGTACATCAAACCCCTCCGCTGCCCAGACAAAGACTGACTGAATATATATATTTTTTTTGTTGTTGATGTTACTTAGTTTAATCTTTACCTTTTAGATGCCTGGTGTCACATGCACCGTCTCATCTGTTGAATTTGAGTAATGACAGTGTAATGCTAAGATACTTACTGAGCACACTCACAGAGACAAGGTTACTACTATTTGGTCCAATTTTTGATTGGAGTAGATGGTTTTATTGTACGCAATTATTTCATATACACTTGAGATAGTTTGTTTTTTTGACATTTACAAAATCAATGGTTTGATATTATCTTGATTTACAAATTTTTGTAAGTACAAAGGCGTAGTTGTAGTTAGAAGCAGCATCACCACCATGTCTAATAATATTGGTTAGATTAACATGCTATAGCTGCATATTCTCTTCAGAAAAGTCTGCAAGTTTGCCAAAGTTTATTTTGCCATTATTTAGTTTTTCTCAACCATGTGTAAGTGTCTGTTTTAAAAGTTGGTTTTCTTTTTAACATAGATGTAAATAAGAGTATTTTTGTGCCTGTCTGATGACCTGTTTCAGCATCCAACAATAAAGTAGTACATTAAGTACGCCTTTGTCTTTTATCATATTTTCACATTGATTGAACATAAATCGTGGTAATCTCAAACACTGCTGTATATATAATGGGTGTATAATAGGTAAGCTTAAATTAATGAAGACAAAACCAATTTCCTCATTAAGCATCTCACTGTGAATGATGGGGGTTATTTCACATAGATTAAAGATTACATTGCAGTTCACTGGATCAGTTTTTAATGAATGATTTGCTACAAAGCTTTCAACAGGAGAAAAGCCCAGTAAAACATTTTCCAGTAAACGTTCCAGTTATTTCAAACAAGTCTATAAAACCAAAACATTGTCCAAATATAAATAAAAGTTTTTTTTTTAAAGCAAAAAATACTAAATAGCCAAACATTTCTTTCTGAAATATAAAACACTGAACTGTATTATACAGCATTAAGCCATTGATGTGAGCAGTTCACCAAAGAAAAGCATTAGTTAAATGCACCACGGTCCACATAAGGATAGGCCAGGAAATTTCCCAGCTTGTTGCCTTGAGCATCATAGTGCAGCATCCGGAAGCACTTGTCACAGAACAGACACGGGTCACTCGGAGCAAACTGGTCATTGGTGGTAAACCATCTGGAATGAGGAAGGGATGTTGAACTTGTATTTGCGCTTTAAAAAGGCGGCAACGCAGTTTTTTGCTGATTTTTACACACCTGCCAATGAAGACGTGACAAACGGCACACTTCTGGGTGACGACCCTGTGCTTGTGTATGAGGAGTGGATACAGCTTCATGTCCAGGCAGTCGTTCTTATGGGCCAGTCTGCAATGTGTAAAAAGAGATAAGAAATGGCCCTTTTGTTAATCTTTAAGAGTGTGAGAACACATTTGTCTCACATTCATGGTGACTGAGTAGTTACCCTGCTCACGGCAGCATAAAACAAGTTCATAGACTCATCTGCTATTACGCATTCCATAGTGCGATGAAACCAAATTAGCTATAAAGTCTTGTGAGAGCAATCAGATCTTGTCCAACAACGAAGTGCTTGTAGTAATGATACAGAGACTTGTGACAAATCAAAGCACCTCAGAGTTGCATAGTAAGAAGACAGTTCATTACAGTAGAGGTTGAGGATGACCAAAGTCCGTAGGATTAATCCTCTGGGGATAATGAACCTCTGTACAAAACGTCACGGCAGTCCAACAGTTTATAGGACATTTAAGTGTAGACAAAAGGTGACTGATTAGATGTAGTGTGGCTAAAAACAGAGGAAGTGTCTGTGATGTGGCCTATAGGATTCTAAAGCTGAAACAAGTTGTGGCTGGAAAATCCAAGTTAGGCAAAACACACAAGAGGCGTGGTGAGCAAGCTGTGACAGGCAGACTTCTGATTTCTGTCATTCAGTGAACTTGTATGTTTAAGCGCAATTTGAAGCATTTGATTGTTTATTACTGCTTTTATTATTGCAAATAGAAATGAACTATATAGCACTTGCAGGTTAGCTGACATTGCTACATCCACCATTTTGTGATATCTGTGATCAAGCAAATATTGATATTTTATAGCTACTTCTGAAATGCCCTTGCAGGAGCGTTATCTGTAGCAGTCTTTATTACAGCTGTTTTGTGATTGTTCATTTGTGATTTAGTGTAAGCTAGTTTAGTGATAACCAGGCTAACCATTATACTAACCATCTGAGTCTAATGTTTTGCTACTTGCTAACATCCTAAGTAACTATCGGGCTAACTGTTGATGTTGTTGATGTTATTTTACTCCTGTGTGCTCCTTGTGTGTGTTTACTAGATTAATTACAGTGTTGTTTCTTCCTGTAGAGACCACACAATGATCTCTCATTTGTGATTCTTGGTTTATTCCTGGCATGAAACACAATTAACTAATTTGACAATTACTTACTTTTGTCTTTCTTGCTAACTCATGTTTCATAATACTTTTTCGATGTCACTCTTGTTTATGGTTTACAGGAAGTGTCATCAAGTAAATCCCATAGAGATTAAAACCTCATTTTAAAAGGGAGAACCGAGTACCTAAAAAAAACAAAACAACAATACTAATATACATTTGAGTAACAAAGCATGATCGAGAACGTAAAATCTAATCATCACACAAGGCGATGGTCCTTTTAACTTCATTTAACATTGCCCATCATGCAGTGCTGGACCGAGTCGTTTGTAAAGTTGCTGTTTTATGTTCCGAAATGCCAAAACACAAAAACATGTTTGTAATTTGTCTGTTTAGAACATGGTGGTTTATGTTGGTAATTGTCATTTTTGTGCTGGTTTATACATTTACATTAAAATACAATACATTCCTTGACACCAACTATATTTTGTTACAGTCTTATACAGTGGGTACGGAAAGTATTCAGACCCCTTTAAATTTTTCACTCTTTGTTTCATTGCAGAAAAAAAAGTTCATTTTATTTCTCAGTAATGTACACTCAGCACCCCATCTTGACAGAAAAAAACAGAAATGTAGAAATTTTAGCAAATTTATTAAAAAAGAAAAACTGAAATATCACATGGTCATAAGTATTCAGACCCTTTGTTCAGTATTTAGTAGAAGCACCCTTTTGATCTAATACAGCCATGAGTCGTTTTGGGAAAGATGCAACAAGTTTTTCACATCTGGATTTGGGTATCCTCTGCCATTCCTCCTTGCAGATCCTCTCCAGTTCTGTCAGGTTGGATGGTAAACGTTGGTGGACAGCCATTTTCAGGTCTCTCCAGAGATGCTCAATTGGGTTTAAGTCAGGGCTCTGGCTGGGCCATTCAAGAACAGCCACGGAGTTGTTGTGAAGCCACTCCTTCGTTATTTTAGCGGTGTGCTTAGGGTCATTGTCTTGTTGGAAGGTAAACCTTCGGCCCAGTCTGAGGTCCAGAGCACTCTGGAAAAGGTTTTGTCCAGGATATCCCTGTACTTGGCCGCATTCATCTTTCCCTCGATTGCAACAGTCGTCCTGTCCCTGCAGCTGAAAAACACCCCCACAGCATGATGCTGCCACCACCATGCTTCACTGTTGAGACTGTATTGGACAGGTGATGAGCAGTGCCTGGTTTTCTCCACACATACCGCTTAGAATTAAGGCCAAAAAGTTCTATCTTGGTCTCTTATTTATCACCATCTTGGAGTCCTTCAGGTGTTTTTTAGCAAACTCCATGCGGGCTTTCATGTGTCTTGCACTGAGGAGAGGCTTCCGTCGGGCCACTCTGCCATAAAGCCCCGACTGGTGGATTGCTGCAGTGATGGTTGACTTACTCCAACTTTCTCCCATCTCCCGACTGCATCTCTGGAGCTCAGCCACAGTGACCTTTGGGTTCTTCTTTACCTCTCTCACCAAGGCTCTCTCCCCCGATAGCTCAGTTTGGCCGGACGGCCAGCTCTAGGAAGGGTTCTGGTCGTCCCAAACGTCTTCCATTTGAGGATTATGGAGGCCACTGTGCTCTTAGGAACCTTAAGTGCAGCAGAAATTTTTTTGTAACCTTGGCCAGATCTGTGCCTTGCCACAATTCTGTCTCTGAGCTCTTCAGGCAGTTCCTTTGACCTCATGATTCTCATTTGCTCTGACATGCACTGTGAGCTGTAAGGTCTTATATAGACAGGTGTGTGGCTTTCCTAATCAAGTCCAATCAGTATAATCAAACACAGCTGGACTCAAATGAAGGTGTAGAACCATCTCAAGGATGATCAGAAGAAATAGACAGCACCTGAGTTAAATATGAGTGTCACAGCAAAGGGTCTGAATACTTATGACCATGTGATATTTCAGTTTTTCTTTTTTAATAAATTTGCAAAAATTTCTACATTTCTGTTTTTTTCTGTCAAGATGGGGTGCTGAGTGTACATTACTGAGAAATAAAATGAACTTTTTGATTTTTGGAAAATGGCTGCAATGAAACAAAGAGTGAAAAATTTAAAGGGGTCTGAATACTTTCCGTACCCACTGTATGTTCAACCCCCCCCCCAACCATATCTGAAATGAATCTTGTTCCATTCATACTTACACCTTTCAGTAAGAGGTTGAGTGGGTTTTGAAAAGGAACACAGCACTCACCTGATGTCTGTGATGATGACCAGGTGTTCGCAGTCTCCCTGATGACAATATAGGTACGGGAAGCCCACTTTCACTTTCAGATCCACAAATTGTGTGTCCTCCATCTTGGCCTGGCTGTAGGGGGGGAAGCCATGGGCCTTTGCCCATTCAATGGTAGTCCTGTATCGTAAACACACAGGTGGTACAGTAAGCTGTAAATGAACGGCGCTTTACACTACATGTCACATTCACCCATCCTCACACACACACACACACACACACATTCATACACTGATGGCAGTGGCCAACTGCTCCTCAGAAAGGATGAAACTAACATTCACACAGACTCACAATTTGGGGTTCAGTATCTTGCCCAAGCAGACTGGAGGAGCCAGAGATCAAACCGCCGAGTCTCTGATTAGTTGATGACCTGCTCTAGCTCCTGAGTATCATAAAATGTCCTTTTAAGTGCTTGTATATTCATTTTAAAGTTATACATCACATTTCTGGTAGATTCCATGTTTATCTGCTTAAAAATGCTCAAATGATTGTCAAAAATGAAATTTAGGCTATCATTTTGATTTGGATATATGGCTGTAGGGAATGACGACTGCAAGAGTGTGATTTTGGTTTCAACTTACGTGAACGAGGAGGAATATGTGAGAGAAATGTTTTGGTTGTTATGTGGTAACTGCACCATATCAATCTCCAACAACTCTTTCCCAGAGTATTTCAGACACAGGTCAATTGCAATCTTCTGTACCAAATATTTATAACCACTGTCTCTTGCCTGCTAATGAGGGTGACTGTGCCTTTTAACTCAAGTTGGCATCTTAATCTGAACAGCAATCACAAAATGTCCTCGTTACAACGACCAGTATTTGACTGCATAAGCATTAGCACCACCTTGATATTTTAAAAGATTTGTCACCCCTATTATTTAAGAAATCTTAATATAAATATATTGAACTTTTCTCAGTGGAATTCATGGCCCTACAGTAACAGGCCGTTAAGACATTTGGATGAGGGTTCTTGACACACGATATGAAAACATTTTTAAAAAAAGAAAGCCACGTTCGTCTTTCACAGTTAGGTTGCCCACAAAACCATAAGAGAAAATAAGTAAAGTACTAGAGAAGGCTTTTAGAAATTGTGGTTATAATGTAGGCATAAAAAAGTGCCATGTAAAACCACACATCACAATACTCCATTCCCTCAGAATAATAACTGATTTGATCAAATGCAGCATTAAATAGTGCCACATAAAGAAAACCCTGCCTACACTGAATCATAATTTAAATTAAAGTTTACATTTCTGTTTGTGCACAGGTTAAAACAAACAATATATAACAGAGTAATTGGTGAACTTTAGAGGTGTTGGTAGGCATATCTTTTAACTTTGGAGAGAGACAGGCGAGCGGTTTCCCTCTGCTTCCAGTCTTTGTGCTAGGCTAAGCTAATCACCTCCTACCTGCAGCTACAGCTTAAACAAAGAAGAGTGTGGTATCAATCTTCTCATCTTGGAATCTCTTACAGTGCCTTGCGAAAGTATTTGGCCCCCTTGAACTTTGACCTTTTGCCACATTGCAGGCTTCAAACATAAAGATATAAATAACTGTAATTTTTTGTGAAGAACCAACAACAAGTGGGACACAATCATGAAGTGGAACAAAATTTATTGGATATTTCAAACCTTTTTAACAAATAAAAAAAATTATTAAAAAATTATTCAGCCCCCTTAAGTTAATACTTTGTAGCACCACCTTTTGCTGCGATTACAGCTGTAAGTCACTTGGGGTACGTCGCTATCAGTTTTGCACATCGAGAGACTGAAATTTTTGCCCATTCCTCCTCGCAAAACAGCTCGAGCTCAGTGAGGTTGGATGGAGAGCGTTTGTGAACAGCAGTTTTCAGTTCTTTCCACAGATTCTCGATTGGATTCAGGTCTGGACTTTGACTTGGCCATTCTAACACCCGGATATGTTTATTTGTGAACCATTCCAGTGTAGATTTTGCTTTATGTTTTGGATCATTGTCTTGTTGGAAGACAAATCTCCGTCCCAGTCTCAGGTCTTTTGCAGACTCCATCAGGTTTTCTTCCAGAATGGTCCTGTATTTGGCTCCATCCATCTTCCCATCAATTTTAACCATCTTCCCTGTCCCTGCTGAAGAAAAGCAGGCCCAAACCATGATGCTGCCACCACCATGTTTGACAGTGGGGATGGTGTGTTCAGGGTGATGAACTGTGTTGCCTTTACGCCAAACATAACGTTTTGCATTGTTGCCAAAAAGTTCGATTTTGGTTTCATCTGATCAGAGCACCTTCTTCCACATGGATATCTTTAAGAAATGGCTTTATTATTGCCACTCTGCCATAAAGGCCAGATTTGTGCAGTGTAAGACTGATTGTTGTCCTATGGACAGAGTCTCCCACCTCAGCTGTAGATCTCTGCAGTTCATCCAGAGTGATCATGGGCCTCTTGGCTGCATCTCTGATCAGTCTTCTCCTTGTATGAGCTGAAAGTTTAGAGGGACGGCCGGGTCTTCGTAGATTTGCAGTGGTCTGATACTCCTTCCATTTCAATATTATCGCTTGCACAGTGCTCCTTGGGATGTTTAAAGCTTGGGAAATCTTTTTGTATCCAAATCCGGCTTTAAACTTCTCCACAACAGTATCTCGGACCTGCCTGGTGTGTTCCTTGTTCTTCATGACGCTCTCTGCGCTTTAAACGGACCTCTGAGACTATCACAGAGCAGGTGCATTTATACGGAGACTTGATTTCACACAGGTGGATTCTATTTATCATCATTAGTCATTTAGGTCAACATTGGATCATTCAGAGATCCTTACTGAACTTCTGGAGAGAGTTTGCTGCACTGAAAGTAAAGGGGCTGAATAATTTTGCACGCCCAATTTTTCAGTTTTTTATTTGTTAAAAAGGTTTGAAATATCCAATAAATTTCGTTCCACTTCATAATTGTGTCCCACTTGTTGATTCTTCACAAAAAATTACAGTTTTATATCTTTATGTTTGAAGCCTGAAATGTGGCAAAAGGTTGAAAAGTTCAAGGGGGCCGAATACTTTCGCAAGGCACTGTAATTTCAGTCAAACAATCAAGGCAGAGGGTGTACCTTAGCAGCTGTTGACAAAGAGAGGAGATTATCTTAACCAATCATCCAATTAATCAGACGGTAAAACTTACATGCTGATGTCTTGACACTCGGGGAATCGCATGTCGTTATAGAACACTCCTTCGAAGAAAAAGAAAGCTGACCTGAAATGATCCTGAAATAGAAGAAAATTCATTATTTTCCCTAGGTTTTATCAGTTGGGTCTTGTGCGCCAATTTTGACAGAATCGGACATACAGTTAAGCCCAAAATTATTCATACCCTTGCCAAATTTTGATTCATTGTGAATAGGTTTAATTTTGGGCTTAACTGTATATATCCACACATACAATACCACACAATTAGGGCTGCACAATAAAACAATAATTATTGCAATACATTTTTTTCAATAACAATATAACAAATGTTCAAGAAATATTCAATAAATGTTTGATTTTATCCATTTGAATCATACACGACTTAGGACTTTATTTTGTTGAGGAAGAGGGACTGAAAACTTAATTTTACTCATGCATATTTGTTGACAAAGGTTTTATCATAATTGTTATGAATGTTCTACCTCAGGTTTCTGAAGTGATTCACTGTATGGCATCAAGTGTTGACCATAAAGAAGAGTTTAAACTACAATTAACCATCAGGTTTCTTCAACTTTCACTCAGGAGCAGAAATCAGCCTTAAATTTGAAAGAAATAACGATTTGATACTTATCATAATAATTAGCGATATCGAAAGATATGAAGCTTTTTATCGTGATAACATTTTTGGCCATATCGCCCAGCCCTACACACAACAGAAACTTTTAATATAAAATTCTTAAACTGAGAGGTTCACTCGCAGTAAATGCACAGAGGTCACTTGTGGATAACACAGTCACAAAATAAACCTGTTCAGATCTTGCAGAGAGCTTGGAATTACAGATGAACTGTATGTGCGCTTACTTTGCTGATGAAGTCTGGAGCTATGTCTGGCGTGTGGCTGAACTCTCCGCACACTTGCAGGTCGTTGACGCAGCAGATGGCGTCCTTGAGCTCTGCCAAGCTGTGGGAGCCCGTCATCAGCAGAGTCATGTGGGGTCTGATGTAGTTAAACTGAAGGGGGGGAGGGGGGATGTCAGTACCATGGAGAATAACATTTAAGAAATAATTGCCTGGATTTGGAGGGCTTCTGGCACACTGAGAAAAGTGAAAACTCACTTTCTCAATAACAGCCGGGTAGTAGACGTTGATGGTTAGAATGACTTCTCCTTCAGGGATCATGTTAGCCACTGCTTCTGGTTTCCTAGAGACAGTTAAGCGCTCCTGGAAATCCCACAGAGAACCAAACTTTACACACTACCGTTCAAAAGTTTGGGGTCACTTGGAAATTTCCTTAAATTGATCAGAAATACAGTGTAGACATTGTTAATGTTGTAAATGACTATTGCAGCAGGAAATGGCTAAAGTGTAATGGAATATGTACCCAGGTATACAAAGACCCATTATCATTAACCATCGGCCTGTGTTGGCACGTTGTGTTTGCTAATCCGAGTTTATCATTTTAAAAAGCTAATCGATCATTACAAAACCCGTTTGAAATCATGGTTGCACAGCTGCCAGTTGAGGACCTGTGAAGTGTCTGTTTCACAAACTAGACCCTCTAATGTATTTGTCCTCTTGCTCAGTTGTGCACCGCGGCCTCCCACACATCTTTCTGTTCTGGTTAGAGCCGGTTTAAGCTGTTCTGTTCTGTGAGTCGTACACAGCATTGTACGAGATCTTCAGTCTCTGGGAAATTTCTCGTACAGAATAGCCTTCATTTCTCAGAACAAGAACAGACTGATGAGTTTCAGAAGAAAGTTTGTTGTTTCTGGCCATTTTGAGCCTGTAACGGAACCACCAAATGCTGATGCTCCAGATACTTAACTAGTCTGAAGAAGGCCAGTTTTATTGCTTCTTTAATCAACACAACCATTTTTAGCGTGTTCAATTAATCTTTTAAAATGATAAACTTGAATTAGCGAACACAACGTGCCGTTGGAACACAGAGCTGATGGGTGCTGATAATGGGTCTCTGTAGATAATCCATTACAAATCCGCCGTCTCCAGCTACAATAGTCATTCCCAACATTAACAATGTCTACACTGTATTTTTGATCAACTTGATGTGTTTTTAATGACACAAAAAATGTTTCTAAGTGACCCCAAACTTTTGAATGGTAGTGTATTATTAAAAGGTGCATGAAAGGTTACACATGTCTGGCGCATCCTCTATCAAACAGAACACATATTTATTCACAAGCCTACATGATTGCTCAGATCTACTGTACTATTCCAGTCCTATGATCATACTGACTGACAACATTTCAGCAAGACTCCAATGGACCCACCAGTTCATCCGCATAGAGGTCGTGTCTGTTCTTGGTGATTTTTAGAGAAGCTTTGTGATCTTGCCTCTTTTTTCTTTGTCTGTTAAAAACAAATCGCAGATCATTGAATTTTAATTTGTTTACACGCTGTTGGTTTACCCAAGACACAATTCAAAATGAGGAGGAGTCATACACCAGTGTTTTCAGCGTTGGGTCTGGAGGTACAACGTCTGGATCAGGCTGCTGGTCCTCAGGATGGCATCGGAGTGAATCAAGACTTGAAAGGGGGGGAAAAAATGATAACAAAGACTTTTTTAGTTTGCAAACATGGTTTAACTGGGCAAAGGAACAAATAACAGATGAGCTAAAGATCATTATCGTTGTTATGACACTGTAACATTATACAATCATACTATAAATAACTGTAAAACAATATAAGATGCATAAAAGTTGTACTAGTGTCAACATGCTCTGTCTTCATCAACAGAGGAGGAAACCAGCTCTACGTCACGAGATCTGGGCAATAACCCTGCAATACCACAACATCTACGCTTCTTACATACCTATATCACAGTCAAATGTACACATTGTGCAATAACTAACGTTACCTCTATCCATAAATCCACCGGTGTTGTACATATACATAGAAGCTTTTACGTTTGCTCATGATTTCTTAGCTTTAGTCGATTGGTTTCTACTAATTCTTTTTTTCCCCCTTAGCTATGCTGAACGTCGTGAACGTGAAAGTGGTGTGACTGAACTTACCTGCAGACGGTTTTCAGTGCAGTCATGGTCTCCGCACCGATCCCCATCTGTTTCGCGAAGTTAGCGTCAAACCTGTCCTCGTCTTCCGGCTGGTAGGAGTAGTCACTCGGCTTCAGTCTGTTCAGCCACTCGCTTTTAAAAGAGCCAACGTGAAATGGATTGGTGTTCACACCAGTATATTCATAATCTGGGATGTTTGTGTTGGGGTCTGTCGAGAGCTTGGACGCCGCCATGTTTTCCCGAACTGCGCTGTCTCATGGGTAATGTAGTTTTTAGGTCATTGTTGGGTCCAGGACAGGGAGAGAAAAGAGAAAATTTCTTTCAACTTTTTTTCCCCTCTTGATTTTTACAAAATGCACTTGATTTAGAACAGCAAGAAATCACAATTACAAATACATTGTGATAATCTCACAAAAGTGAGTAGACCCCTCACATAATATCTTTTCATGTGAAAACACTGAATATATGACACTTTGCTACAATGTAAAGTAGTGAGTGGACAGCTTGTAAATTTGCTGTCCCCTCAAAATAACACATCACACAGCCATTAATGTCTAAACCGTAAACAATTATTGACAGGAAATGTAGCAGCTTGAGGGATTTGTCACTATGTAAAGTATCTCCCCCCAGATGTATCTTGTGACCCTTTGGAGGGGTGCTGGCGTTGTGCCGAATTCTGCCTGCCTGCCGAGAATTGCATACACCTCGCAGGTGTTAACGGTCATTTATGCATAATTCGGCAGATCAAATTTTGTAGGCTACCTGCCGAGATTTGCATCCACCTCTTTAGGTCCTTTTCAGACACTTTGCTGTGCTCATTGATCAAACGGCGTTATCACCACATATATTTAGTGAATGTCAAGGAATGGTACTTCTACTAAGTGTATTAAAATATTAAAGACTCTAAACGTTCATAAAATATATACTTCGACCCCACAAAGAATATTATTAGCGTTTAAAAGCAGTATTTGGAGGTGCATGCAATTCTCGGCAGGCAGGCAAAACTCTTCATAATCATAACTACCATAATGTAGCTAAAGATAAGATAAAGATAAACATATGAGTTGTCTTTGTTGGAGCATTGTCTTGCATTTTCAATTCTATGAAATTTCCTTTTGAACTTTCTTGACAAGACAATGAGATTTAGGCTACTGAACTACCATCAGGCCTATACTTTGTTTATCCCTATTAAATTAGCTGTGTGTAATTTACACACATACATTGGTTTCAAGCTCTAGCAATTGCACCAGCTTGTAAGGTTGCTCGTAAACTACCCTAAAGGCACTGCTGACTTCAAATGACAACATATATTTATATAGCCATCCAATGACGTCCTATGAGATGAAGGGAGAAGTTTGTGAGCTAGATTTGCAAATAGGCCACTCCCGGCTTCTTACCTTATAAATATAGCCGATCGAGGCCAAATATCGATTTGCCTGCAAGAGAAACGAGCGCTTCTCTTACAGAGACTGCTTAATTTCTGACAAGGAAGGACATCAAGTCTCTTGTTTTGAAATTCCAAGATCAAATGGAGACGAAAGACAATTCCTTACAACAGGTAGGCTACGTCATGTTTTACTGCAACTTCTTTAATTGACCAGAGTTTTCTAACAACCTTGTTTAATTAATTTCAACAAATGTTCAATGCTGTTTCTGTCTCTACACTTTCATCTTACCATTCAAGTGTCAGAGGAAGGACGTTAAGTTGTTCAAATGTGTTATCACATCGATGCATCGCTTCATGTTACTGGGCACATAATATGTTGGCCATTTTGCAGATAATACTTCTGGACTCTATATGTACAATTTTGAATGCAGGACTTTTGCTTGTGTTGGACCATTTTTACATCGTTGTATCGGTACGTTGACCAAAGTTAAAGATCTGAGTACTTGGCGGATCAGATCCAAAAAATAATAAAAATAAGCTGAATAAAATAGGGTTCGGCAGGTTAAATTACTCTCACCACACATTTGAAAGATCACAAGCATCCTGTTTGACTTGAAAACCTGGCTTAAAGTTATATCCATCCCCCCCTCCTCTTCTCAGGTGGACCTAAGCTGTCACAGTGAGGATGAAGAGTAAGTGAAATTCTTTATTTTATCTGTTTTACAGTAAATTTGTGCATGTAATGTCAGTGATTAGCACTTATTGAAATTACTATTCAGGCATAGTTGTAAATTACAGCGAATCATACCACTATATTCATTATCACTGCAAATGGTATCTCACATGATAAAAGCTACTCATTGCAATACAGTATTTGCACACTAGAGGTCAGCATCTTACTGACACTACTTGTTCATTCTTCAAACAGGTGCTGTACATTTTAAATCTCATCGGGGTTAACGTTAGGAAATCAAGACTGTTAGTAATAGAATAGTCTTACACTTGTCTAGGCGTGTTTGCGTTGACACTCTTGTGCTCCCAGATATATATATGTATAACTTGTCAGATGCATTGCATGTCTCTTGGGGTGTAGATGCTTAAATAAATTTTCCAGTTTTTCATTCAGGTCACCTAAAATGGATTTAGGGACCGCACTGGATGGGTGCTCCACCGCCCTTGGTCTTTTTCTGAACAACAGGTTTGCTGATTCTTTGGCCCTCTTAAAACCCTGGTAAGTCACAAAGACTCTAATAACAATCTGTAGCTGATTCTGCATTGTGGTGTACAGCTGTTTCACACTACTGGTTGTATTAAAACTTTTAGTTATTTGCATTTTGTTTAAAACACTATTTTTTTTTTTTTTTGCATCTGTCCCCTTCAGGAAGAGTCAAAGCATATACCACGCAGTCGGCTACAGTAGCATCTTGGTGATGCAGGCAGGCATGACCTTTGACCCAAAGGACATGGATGTTGCAATGACATCACTGAAAGAATCCCTGCAGACATGCCAAAGGTATGGCTTAACAGTTTAGGATGTTGTTTTTAAGTTCCCACTTCAATATTGGGACAAAAGTAAGGAAGACACAGTCAAATACTGTATACAGATGAATTATCAGTCGAGATACTGTATTGCTAACATTATTTTTTCCTGTATATTATACCTGTGTTCCTTAACTTAGTTTTCGGAAGAAAACTGGAATAGTGGAGACTTTAACCAGCCTATTGTATAGACAACCAGTTGACAACCTGACAGAAGGTAAGTGACAAGCTTCCACTATCTCCAGACTATACATCTTTAGTAAATATACACACTTTATCCTGTTTGAGTGGCGATCACCATGTTGACATGAATCTCAAGAAAATTTGGATAGTTAAGCAGTGATGTACAAATTTAGACAGAAATGACCAGAATTAATGTCTGGTGGAAAAAAAAACTGTGACGTTTAACCCTTAACAGAAGAGATGCATGCAGAGCTGTGCTATGCTGAAGTTCTGCTGCAGAAAGCTGCTCTCACATTCCTGGATGAGAGTATACTCTGCTTCATCAAAGGAGGAATGAGAATCCGAAACAGTTACCAGATTTACAAGTAAGAAGCTTGAAGGGGGCTTTTGTTGGGGACATAATATGACATTATATTTCTCAGCCAGACAGTGAGTCACCATATTTAAGTTTATTTTAAAATGATATGTTGTCTTCCAAACCAGGGACTGCCAGGCCTTGGTAAACATCACAAAAGACATGGAACAACATAAGAGCACGTACATTCATTTTAGGGGCGGCGTCAACATGGGTATTGGATCATTTAATCTGGTGAGCGAGATAGACAGTCATACAACAGGCCTCATAAAAAAAAAAATATTCATGCCAAATCGTAGAGCCATGTAGTATGTATGTGCTTTATTTCCTGAACAAATCTTTGCACTTGAAACATGTCAGTAGCCTTTGTTTACATTTTTACCTACTTTTTTGTTATCAGATGCTGTCACTGCTTCCATCCAGAGTCCTCAGACTGATGGAGTGGTTGGGTTTCTCAGGAGACCGGGTAGGTGCCATGAGTCCACATGCAAAGATGAAGCCCATGTCTTTCTTTTTTCTTCAGTAAAACTCATGATATACTAACAGTGTTTCTATAATAAATGTTTTTTTTAATCCAATAAAAAGTATAATTTGCTAATAATCTTACAGGAAATGGGTTTGTCGGAGTTGAGAGAGGGAGCAGCAAACAACAACCTGCGCTCTTTCCTCAGCACCGTGACTCTGCTGACATTTCATCTCTACATTACAGTGATTTTGGGTGAGAACACCTTTGGGTTGGGTCTACTGCGAAATTATATTAAATCACTCAATTTAGTCAGAAAATTCTTCTGCACTCTCATCTTCTTCCCCAGGTACTGGTGAAGGAAACCTTACTGAGGCGGAAGCTCTGCTGAAGCCCTACGTTGAAAAGTTCCCTAATGTGAGCAGTGCTTTTTGTTGATTCTAACTGATTGCAGATGTAACTGTTTTAGTGCCCCTCTTAGTGAAATGATTTTGAATGAATGTGTTTGTATATTGTCCACAGGGAGCCCTTATTCTTTTTTACACTGCGAGAATTGCTTTGCTCCAAGGAAACTTCACATTTGTGAGTACTAGTAACGTGCCTACAATAGCCCAATGTTTTTAAAATGCAATCTCAGCTCATACAGTAGTAGCAGTCAGGAGTAGGAGAAGGAGAACGAAAGCCCATGAGTGTTTCTCTGCAGGCCCAGGAGAAGTTCCTGGCATGTATTGCAGCACAGGAAGAGTGGCGTCAGATTCACCACCTGTGTTACTGGGAGCTAATGTGGGCTTACTCCTTCGAACTAAATTGGAGGAAGGCGTATCGATACGCTGACCTGCTCTGCAAAGAGAGCAAGTGGTCGCAGGTAACCGGTGTAACCATTTCTGTCTTTACCCTGTTGTTAAACTGCTGATGTGTTGAGATTCTTATGACAAGCTGATTGCTCTTCTCCTGCAGGCCGTCTATGTATTCCAGAAAGCAGCCATCTTGACCATGCTACCAGAGGAAGAAGTGACTGAACTGGGAGAAAATGTGGTTGAATTATTCAGGTGTGCTAGAGAGAACCATGATTTGTACATACATGTGTGTATGCAACTCTGTGGTAAGTTCTGTAATAATTATAAATGTGTGGCTTGTAGGCAGGTGGATGGTCTCAGACTGAGGATCGCTGGGAAGTCGATTCCAACGGAGAAGTTTGCGGCGAAGAAGGCGCAGCGATACCAGTCATCTAACCCTGTGAAACTAGTCGTCCCTGCTTTGGTGAGGATGCACATATTCTACTACTTTCAATGAATCAACATTGTTATCAAGCTAGTAGTCCTTTTCAAACAACTATCTCTTTTCCGCAGGAAATGATGTACGTGTGGAATGGCTTCACAATAGTTGGCCAAAGACCCGAGTTGACTGAAAACATCTTGACCATCTTGGAGAAAGCAGATGAGCAGCTCAGAGATGATCCGAGTGAGCGAAACAGGAGAACTTAAGAGCACTGACATGACATGTTTGTTTTTTTAGCACCAGCATAAAACTAACAGCATTTCATTGAACGTGTAGACCCATCAGAGTATCACATAGATGACCAGTGTGTTGTCCAGCTGCTGAAGGGCCTGTGTCTACGACATTTGGGGCGTCTGGTCCAGGCTGAGCTCTGCTTCAATCATGTCATTTCCAGGTGTGGCCATCTTAACACTACTGCAACACACACACAAACACAGAGCATGCACAAATTCAATAAAAGCACTCAGTTGGCATCATAAAATTACTTTATTATGGTAATAATTTGATTGCTATCAGTAGGAAGTTATTCAGCTACAACAATCAACTGGAATAGTGTTATCATAAAGAGAATTTCAGTAGAAAGTGTTGCAACTTCTTGCAACTACCCTAAGCTGCTGAGAGGCTAAGACAAGGAGCAGTCAACATCTGTTTGACGCGGCGTTTGAAGAATGCAGTACCAATTCTGTTATGCGTTTAAATGTTTTATTGTACATTTCAAAGAAGGAAAACCTAAACTCAATAAAGGATATTCTTAATGCTTGGCCCTGCCATGTTATTTGTAGTTGTGAAATACTTGATATTTGTGTTTCTAACATCTATGCCACACTGATTGAATCTCATGTGCTAAACACTTGATAATCTCAAAACAGATGTGTTAACTCCACTTTCAGGAGTGTATGTCCATTTTATTTAGTTATCTTGCAGAGTTTCTGGCAGGATCACCCCTCACCCCCATCCTCCTCAGTTATCTTCCCTGTGGCTACAGGTTGCAGTTACAGTTTGTGACAGTGGCAAGGAAACTTTTTTAACAGGCAGAGACCTTGAGCAAAACAGACTCCATGATGTTTATATAAATCCAACAGTTTTCTGCTCTTTAAATTCATAAAATGCAGAATACACTCTTGCCTGATGGATGTGAGCCAAAACTATCTACAAATGAAATTATTTCGTGTGTGTGTGTGTGTGTGTGTGTGTGTGTGTGTGTACCTCAACTTAAGTTGGTCAACAACTGAAGTGTGTAGGTAGTAGTTTCTCAACTGAAGTGACTTTAATTTTGTTGTTGTTTTGCAGTGAAAATGATATCAAGCATGACAACTACCTGGTGCCGTTTACCATGTTGGAGCTGGGCCTGTTGCATAGACAGAAAGGTGACATCAACACGGCCATCACCATGATAGAAAATGTCAAGTAAGTGTTTTTAGCCCATACACAGACCTGGGTTACATTTGGTTTCACATTTTGTATCTGGGGGTGGGGGTGTTTGCTTCTGGATGTTGTCTTCCCTTAAACTGAGGCAGAAATTCTCTAAATGAGTTCTAAAAGTTCTTCCAAGTGACATGAGCCAGAAAATTGCAACAAGATTGTTGCGTAGGTTGGATGCTGTAGCTCCAGTATTGCAAATGCTGCCTAAAAAAACTTAAATTGATGTGTAAATTTAACATTCTGCTTTTTTACTACAATATTACACTAAGAGCTAATAAGTGATCTGTATTTGTAGGGTGAACTACAAAGGCTACAGCATGGAGTCGAGGCTACACTTCCGCATCCATGCAGCACTCAACACCATGGGCTCTTTTTCAGCCAAACTTCCCCCTTCACGTACGCCAGCTTAAAAAACCCAAAGACAGGCAGCTCTACAAAAAGCATAGCGGTAAACCTGACCTAACCTGACCTCAACCCTGTTTGCTGCTTTAAACTCTGTGACTGTACTTGAAATCCTCCAGATGGACCATCTTGCTGACAGCCCTTTCTTAATGGTATACAATACATCCATACTTAATTCTGAATTTAAGCAAGAACAGAGAAGTAAACTCTGTCGACTACTTGGTTTGAGTGGCTTGGTAATTTCCACTGAATTAAACTATAGCTTGTCAGAACCAGGGCAACATAAACCCAGGAAGACGTTATAAACAGGACATAAATTAAATGCATTAGTCAAGAAAGAAAAATTCTTGGTTTCATTGGACTTAACACCTTTTGCTCTTTTGAAGTCTCAAATAATTTAATATCCAGTTTGAGACTTCACTTGTTTGCTTTTGTTCATGAGATTAAGTTGTTGTAATATTTAAAAAGACGTTGAACATGGCCTGCAGTTCAGTTATGTTTTACATGTAACAATATTTGCGTCATCTTCTTTCTGTGCAGAATGAATCAGTATGCTTAAATGTTATTTACTTAATAAATAAGTTATCAAATGATGTGTTATTTTTAATGGTGACACAAAATGTAAGGTATGCATGTTGTTGGTGTATTTGTAGTACATTTGATCACTGAATTTGAAATAAACTTTGATCAAATACAGATTCCTCAACAGCTTTCTGAGAAGGCTCATCAGTACTGTAAGATAAATGTATGTTCTTCAAGCAGTTACATAAAAGCCCTGATTCAAAATTCATCCTGTTTATTAGCAGATTTACACATATAAGGGATAGTAATTATCCCTTTTTGTTTTTATGAAAATTGTGTAAGGGTAAATCTGTAAAATACAAGAAGTTAATATTTGCCTCAGCACCATGGGAATTATATAATTTTGATTATGAGTTGATTCTTTGACTACCACTGATGCACAAAACAAAACATCCCTACTGTGTTTTGATTGAATCGTGACTGACTTTCATCTTGCCCAGTGTCCATCGCTGTATGTTCTTGATAATGACAATGTACACAGGAAAATGCAACGGTGGAGGTCTTGCTAGTGTCACTTATTAGTTCTTTCCTCTCTGGTTGAAGGTGTGCAACTTGTTGAAATTCCATAGTGCTATGTTTATTTTGGGATGAACACCTGAGGATAAGAGACAAAAGGTAAAACCTGGAGGAAATATTTTTACAGTCCATATTCCAGATTTTAGAGGGATCCATGTTTTAATTGGCACAGCAATCCAGATAATAAACTTAGTTCTTAGAACAGGTCACAGAAGTAGTCTATTTAGTAGTTTATTTGACATCTATAGTTACTTTCAGAATAACAGCTTACATTAAAAAAACATAAAGCTTGTAAAATACAGAGCATTCTGCAGCTAGTTGGGACCCCTTTACCAGTTCAAGTTGTTTGAGTTCCACCAAAGTGTGATTTCCCCCTCTAAACTGTTGGAGTCACAAACTTTTTTTATAATCCAAGATTTCACAAAAAATATTAGAGAAAAGTCCAAAGAATGAATACAGATGTGTGTAGCACAACTTTGTTTTTTTGTCTTTACTATTGCATTAATTAACCCATAGGTTGAGAACCAAACTACCTTACTTTATGTCAAGTAGGTCAAAGTAGCTCTGCACTGACTAGCAAAACAGTAGAATCCTACACATGGAAGCATCAGTATTTCAATTTAATATGTACTAATATATGCTACCATTCTCATCATGAAATGTACTTTATCATTTGAGATGTAAAACGTTTTAGTGGTAATACTTCCGTATGCTTACTTAATCACGTTTTTAAATTAAGGACTTAATGTAATGTATTTTTTACATTGTGTTACATTGAATAAAGGATCTGAGGATTCTTTCACCAATGGTTAAAATAATCAAACACATACAGAGTAACATGCAGTCTATAGCAAAAAGAAGGGGAAACATAATGCCAGGAAATTAAATTATAAATCCCACAAATCCTCAGTAGCTAGAGGGGTTTAAATATGCTGTTGTCAGTGCTGGTGACCACGTGGTGTGTGAGATGATCAGCTGACTGCCGGAGGAGGAAGAGGAATGAAGATGGAAGGGAACAGGGACGAAGCAGAAAAATGTATAAATATAGCGACGAAAGCCCTCGAAGCCGGAGATAAAGACAAAGCTGTGAAGTTTCTCAACAAAGCAGAGAAGCTGTACCCAACAGGCAGAGCAAAAGGTAAGACCGTGTGTGACTGGCTTGTCTGTTTAGCCGACCAGGGCTAACCTAGCCAAGTGTTAAGCTAGCTAGTAACTGACGTTTGTTAACATCACTCACGGTTTGAGCTCACAGCAGGTCACCTGTTCACTGTTGTATAATGGTTACAAATATTTGTATGATTAGTTAATGTTAGTCAAGTGTAAACTATGACTTAAAGACAGGAAATTAAGCAACACAGATCCGAGTTAGCGTCAGCTAAGTTGTGGGCCCCGCGTCATGTTAACCAACCTCGCTAGCGCTGTAGTAACGTTAGTACTCAGTAAGTTGGGGCGATGTTACGTGAATACGTGTCTTTACTCTTAGTCTTTCCTTTAGATGACTCTCAGTGAAGTGTGAAGTGTTGTAGTGCTTCAGAATACTAGTAAACGTCAATCTATGATCGAGCATCTTCATTGAGTAGTTCATGCTAGCTGTCACTCGCTGTAACAACTTCACTAAGACCTTTTTAAAGCATTTATTTTCACTTCAAGAAACTTGATAGACTTGGGCCTACGTTATTAATAATGCTGCTGTGTAGGGATTTCAGTGAGGACCGAACAGACAAGTGGAGTAGAGGAACGTGGCGCTAGTAGGAGCTATAGTCCTTTCTAGTCCAATCCTTTAATTGAATGATTGACCCGGAGAGAGCCTCGAAGTGTAGGCTAATCCTGGATACACAAGCGTCTGTGAGATGACTCTAAACCGGTGTTAAGCAAGGGTGGGACTGAAAAGTGTTTTGGTTTGTAATGTTAGTTATAAAAGGCTCTTATACAGTTTAAGGAATAACGTTAGATAAACTTGCACTTTGATGACCCGAATCTTCTCAGTTGTTAAACTGGTTTAGTAGATAAATGGCTTTCTAAGGCTGGAGCTCAACATCACATATGGCCACCAATTTGCAGTTAAGATAAGCCACTTATCGGTTTCAGATATTTCAGCAAATCTTTGATGAACTGACATGTAAAGTGGCATTACAAGAATGTCCATTAAACTGTTTTAAAGTACATAGCTAAGAGGAAGGGGGCTATACAGTGGGAGGGGAAAAATACAATATAAGAAAAATATGTACATTAAGTGTGTATTGAAAGGAGCAGAGGCGTACAGGGAGTGTGGGTTCCCATTATTGGTTCCCCTGGCAAGATAAGCTCTTTCTGTGTCTTTGTGTGCTGGTGTGAGAGCAAGGGGAGTTTGTAACTATTCATAATATTGCAGATATCTTGCGAACAGACATAATAACAGAAAAATAACCTCATTGGCAGAAGTAATTGTGTGTATGTGTGTGTGTGTGTATATATATATATATATATATATATATATATATATAAAAAATAATGAGGATAAAAACATGAGTAAGTAAATAAGCAGTGAAAATGGGGGCTGGCGATGGATAATATACGTGCCTTTGCTGTGGAAGACTTGGGTTTGATTCCCCCTGTGAAATCCACCAGTGTGTCCCTGAGCAAGACACATAACCCCTAGTTGGTCCAGAGGGGTGCGACTTCTGACATGTATAGCAATAGCTAAATGACTAATTAAAAAACAGTGGAAGTGAAACAAGAACGGGACATTATCACCGGTTCCATCAGTACATTGTATATCTACCTTTGCAGCTATGTAATGCTTGACAGTTCTGTCACTTAAGTCAGCAAGTCTCTGAATCTGCGATCATGGTTGCAGAGAGGATTGAGCGTTGTCAACACAAAGGGTTGACAGAAAGAGGCAGGCCAAGGCAGCACCTATACACCAGCATTACTCCCAGCAGCCACATAGAGGCTGTACCTATATCACAACATGTTGAGTACCCTAGAATGCTGTGGGAAAGATGGATTATGGTGTGCAAGAGGCAATAGTTTTGTGCTTATGTTACATGAGAACAAACTCTATAATGATGAATAATGCATTGATAAATGATAAGGAACATTACAACATTTCTGCTGCCAAGTCAGAGATCATTGGGCCGCTCTACTGTTGCTGTCCTTGAGTGTATATTTTTGCATCACTGGTCATATTTCCTACAGGGATAGTGATCTTGAGACTTGGATTTAAGACTACTGGAGGGGTACTGCGAATGGTTTAAATTAGTAAATATGAAGACTTGAAGAAAAGAAGTTTAATCAAGAAGTTAATGTTTAACAGCATTGATATTGATCATTGACAACTTTTGTTATGGTCAGCTAACTTCCTGCTAGTTTAGCAGTTGGCAACTGGATTTAAGTGATTTTGATTATGGAAGGCAAAACTGGGTCTGTTTTTTAAACAAACAAAAAAAAACACTGTACACGGTACTTTCATCTGCATTAGGATGATAAAACTATTTGTTTCAGCAGAGGTGTTTGGTAGGGAGGTCGACTAAGAGCTATTTAAAGGTCTGAGTGGGGGTAAAAGTGCCCCTAACAAGTCATGACACTTTACCTGTGTGCTCTCTTTCTACCTTGGGTTACTTGAAAATCTTTCAAATGTAATTAACTGTAGTACCTTGTGTTTTTCTGAGCAGACACATGTTATAAAATCTAGAGCAGTGTATCAATTGTATTGAATCACAATCTTAAAATCTAAAATCGTAATCAAACGGTGTCATTACCACCGATTTTATTCAACGTAAATTTGTGTAAACAAACCATCTGATTGCTCTTTGCGTCTCATGTTAGACTCATCTAACATCTTAAGTGACAATTTTTCACATAAGGAAGTTGTCAAAAGCTTGGACACTTGTAAGACAGTGAAAGTAATAATTGGTCAGTTAATTTATCTTAAGCATCTTCTTCTCCTCTTCAGCTTTGTTGGACGCATTAACGAAGAATGGGAGCTCAGCGGGTAACGGGGCATATCGTAGGAGACCAGCAGAAAGCTCAGAAAGCACCGGTGCCCAGCCAGAAAGGGACAGCCAAGAGTCAGGAGGAGGCGACTCTTCTAAAGGCTTCAACAAAGAGCAGGTCGAAGGTGTGCAAAGGTAAGAATTTTACCACTGACTAGGTCTTCCTTTTCATGCTGCATTTCTTTATCCACCATTTGTTACTGTATCTGTCCCACTTCAGTGGGCTCTTTTGGTGCTCTCTGATAATTGGCCCTGTGACAGCAGCACTGTTTCTATTCATCTTGATTAGACCTTTCATCTGTGGCCACAGTGTTGTGCATACAGCTATTGCCATGGGAACCTCTTCAGCTTGGTGACATACCAATGAGGGGAGAAAGTGAGAGACATTTAGCGGTGTGAACTAGATGCCAGGTAACCACTACATGCTCTAATTTTATACCACGAGAGAGAGAGGGAGGCAATCCGTGCATTTTGTCCACAGCATACAGTCTCCAATCAGAAAGCCACAGATGGTGCCTTGAGTTAATTTATAGGATAAACATGCTGCTTGTTATTACGCAATCCTACCAGTATATTGCACTAAATGTAGGCAGTCAGTCTATTCCTTGGTGTTTTTATACTAAATCTTTTGGGGAAGCTTCAGTGGGTTAAAAATGGCATCTTCTTCTAAGGAAAAAGTAAGACGGGTTGTGTTATGTTTACATTAAAGATCACCCGTTCCCCCTTAAGATAACTTCTAGGGGTTAGTGTACTTATTTTAATCTAACCCATGATCATTTCCTAAACCTAACAAAGTAGTTATGGTGCCTAAACCTAACCAAACTGCGACCATTTAGACGGCGTGTCCTATAGTACTCACGATTCGATTTGAATACGATTATCCTGTCAACGATCACGGTGCATCACCTCTAGGGGTGGGTACTCTCTAGGCACCTTACAATTATGAGGGCTACAATGCGTTTGTAAAATGATTAGGATAAAGATTTATTTTTCTCATTGTGTGACTACTTGGAACGTTTAATGCAAAATGTTTGTAATGATCCAACCAAGTAGGTAGTAATGACATGAGGCTATTTAACATTACTTCCTATAAACATAGCTAATGTTATATAGCATTATTAGAGTGTAATTACTGACCTGTTGCTATTTTTATTTCTTATTTTCACAGTGTTAACACTGCCTTAATAGCTGCTTTTTTTGGTTTTGTTTAGTGTAGTTACATGGTTGTGCTATATTGTGTCTTGTCTTGTAAGCTGATTATTGTGATCCACCACTCCTACTACTTGGTCTGCTGGAGGCAGCAATGTTGTGATGTTTTTTTTTTTTTACAGTATGAGCAATATTCAAATGTTGATTTAGAATTCATGTAATTGAACATCAGTTTAATTATTCTACTTGTGATCTTGTAATGCATATCAATACATGAAAAATACTGAGATTAATTTTTGTAATATTGATTTCAACCATATAGCCCAGCCCTAATGACTGACTGGAATATACATCACAGGCCAGTGTATGTGCAGATCTACCGTACGTAATAAAGTATAGATGCTTGATTCCCTCCTTCCTGTATGTGACCTTTTTATGGAGTCAACATTGCTCTGGAAGAAACGCAGAAATAGAGACTCTCCTGTTTTTTGTCTTCCTTTTTTGAATAATGTCAAGTGCTAGAAATAAAATATCCTATATACAGTGTGTACAGTCTTCAGAATCTATCTGGGTCTTGCTAGATACATATACAGTACGTGATTTTCTGAATGCTTAGTATTTTCTGTGAGTATAAACTTCAGATTAGCAAACCACAGGGTATGTAACGATTGGTCAGCTCGTTAAACTATTAACTAATTTTCTCTGGGGGATCTGCTCGAACGTTGTGCTTGAATGTCAGTTACTTGTGTGAGGCCAGGGCCATCAACAAGTTACTTTTTCATGATAATCAGTTCAAGCACCTGTTGTGGATCAGAAGGTGACAGGGAAAGAGAATCTAACACTAAAAGGTAGTGATGGGCAAATGAAGCTTTTGTGAAGCACTGAACCACCTGAGCAAATTGTTTCAAAAATGGGTTCATTACTCGAAGCTTCAGTTACAGTGACCTCTCCTGGCGAAGTTCAAGGCTGCAGGCAAATTAGACAGGCTAGCTGCTGGACAGGAGGCTTTTAATTACATACCCGCACGCCCCTCGATGAGCAGTGCTGGAGAAACTACTTTACTTTTGTAGAAAACACCATTAGTTATAAAGAACCTTTGCTTTAATCACCCTTGGATTTAAAGTATATTTACTTTGAAAATTCTTTGATACACACACATTAAGATGAACATCATGTTCAAATAAAGATTGATGAATGCATGTATTTTGTTATTGAGGGGAGAGTGCTGGGAAATATGGCACAGGTTGGATGTGCTTGTGTAACTATGACAGGGGGTGAATGTGTTCGATGGGGTGCACAACACTCACTTTCGAGACGATCGAGGCAGTGCCAGTGAATCATGTGACTGGACCGCGAACCAGTGGTGATTCATTCAGTAATTTAAGCAGTTGCTGCTTTGGATGTCACGTGATTTTTATTTTTTATTTTTATTTTTTTTCACACCAAAGCAAACTTTGAAGCAGTGGTTCAATAGGATTGTAGTCCAGGGGTTTGAAGCATGTATCGAAGCTTCAGTGTCGCACTGCCATCACTACTAAAAGGTAAACTCGAGGAGAACTTCCCCACGTGCCTTTCACAGTAGGATAGGTCAAAAATGAGCCACTGGATTGTTTTCACCTACTTCACTCTCTGTCCCTGTCTTTCAGAATAAAGCGGTGTAAGGACTACTATGAAGTACTGGGCGTCAGTAAAGAAGTCAATGAGGAGGAGCTAAAGAAAGCCTACAGGAAATTGGCGCTCAAGTTCCACCCAGACAAAAATCATGCACCTGGAGCAACAGAGGCCTTTAAAAGTAACAAATAAGATAATATCTATTCTAAGCTTGTTGGAACTTACCTCACATGTGATATACAAATACTGTGTATAACACAAACTTTGAATATTTAAGCATGGTATTTCAAAAAAACAAAAGTCTGTCTGAAATAGTTTATGTCCATAGCTTATTCCCCTCTTTGATACATCAACTGTGTCCTCCTCCAGAGATTGGTAATGCATATGCAGTGCTGAGCAACCCAGACAAAAGGCGGCAGTATGACCTGACAGGAGGGGAGGAGCCGAGCAGCCCGGGTCACTCACACGGAGGAGGCTTTGACTTCCACAGGGGCTTTGAGGCTGACATTACTCCTGAGGACCTCTTCAACATGTTCTTTGGAGGTGGCTTCCCCTCCTGTAAGTGAGCACTTGTGTGCATATAGATTCAAACACACAAGGTTCAAGGTTACTGATAAGTTAACGTGACTCCTCAATACCCAGATTTTGTGTTTTATCATCAAAATGTATTGATTTTATTCATATATTACAGTGATGATTTATCTTATCAATTTAGTAGTTAATGATTTTGTCAGTCAGAAATATAACCATGTTATTTAGGCTTTTTGGTGAATCTTTAGATCCTCAGATAATAACTTTTATGGGTTCAGTCAATGGACTACATCATGTGGTACAAAGAATTCACTCATCAAATGCACTTGAATGTGGCTCTAAAGGATGACTGGTGCATCATATCTGACCTCAGTCATAATATTTTTGTCTACAGCAAGTGCACACACCTTCACCAACAGCAGAACAAGCTACAGCCATCAGACGGATTATCGACAAGAGAGAACAGAAGAAAGGGGAGATGTACGTAGATGAGTTCAGATTTTGCATCATTATGTTAATTAAATTAATATTTTTTTATTCGAGCAAATATACGTTATAATTTCAATTGATGTGCAGCCATAGAAACAACATTCTTTGACTGTACATTACCATAAGTTTGTGTTACTTTATATGACATATGTCATTGTACTGTGTTTTCCTCTAGGGTGGTTTCTCAATTTTATCCAGCTGATGCCCATCGTGGTCCTGATTTTAGTGTCAATTTTGAGCCAGATGATGGTGTCCCCTCCACCCTACAGCCTGTACACTAGACCGTATGTGCACACACATTTTTCTGTTTTTCATCGCTGAGGAAAACTTTTAGGTAGCTAATCACAACTTTTCTGTTCCATTCACTTAAGAATTTAGTGCATGTCAAAGAGGCTGGTTGACAACTAGAAAGTATTTTGTCCTCCTCCTACCTTGTTGACATGTACTATGAAATGTTGACCTGGGATCTCTGGGATCCCTGGTGGTGGTTTTATTCCACCTTTCTAACATTTGTATTCACTGACAATGTGGTCTTTTCACAGTAGTTCTCCATGTCACCTACAATTTCAATTATATAAAATACATTCAGGATTCAACGTATGTGGGGAAATTACTACAGTTCGTCACCATTTTCACAGCTTGTACTTCCTCCATCTCTTGCAGGTCCACAGGTCAGACTGTAAAACGGCAGACAGAAAACCTGCATGTCGACTACTACGTCTCCAGAGATTTCAAGTCAGAGTTTAAGGGCTCAGCGCTGCAGCAGATTGAGAAAAATGTGGAGGAGGACTACGTATCTAATGTCCGAAATAACTGTTGGAAGGAGAGACAGACAAGTGAGTAACCATGGTATTTAATACACCCTCAGAGCTAGCTAACTGAATTGAGTAATTATTTTCTGCTTTGCACTCTTGTTTCCTGGAGTCTTTGCTTTTCTCAGTCACATTGTTTTTCTGCTTGTCTCATCCAGAAACAGACCTGCTGTATGCTGCTAAGGTATACAGGGATGACCGAATGCGCAAGAAGGCAGAACTCATGACCATGGATAACTGCAGGGAGCTGGACAGACTAAATAACCTATTCAGAGGCGGATGAGCTGGATGCTTCTTAGATCATGTAAATGTCTGAATAGATGTGTATGTTCATGTTTTTTTTAAAAAAGAAAGTCTTTACACTAGGAGCAAAAAACTTGCTGAAATAAATTAGCTCTATTGTTGAAGTTTTAAAATGTCCTCAATCCCTCACCAACACCAACTCCTCTCCTTCCTCGCTACAACCTAACCCCAGGAATCGCCTTGTTACGTCTAAATGAACCAATCTACACGCACTGTAGAAAGCCCCAGACAGTTTTTTATGTTACTTTTTTTTTACTCTGCTTTTCATGTGTTTTCGTGGAAACAAGAAGGACAAGGACGCTTGATTGTAAAGGCATGTACCTCAAATAGTGAGAACTCGAGGCATTCTGCACAAACAAATCACGGCTTTTGGCATCATCATGCTTGACGTCTAAGATGGGAGACTTCGTAGGTTCATCTGGAGGAGCTGTCCTCCAGCCAGATCCATTTCTGGAAGAACACCGGAACAAAAGATGGAAATAAAATGACATTAATGCTTCTTTTAGCTTTCACTTCCAAGTATGAGTGAACATCGGCGGATCATGAAGAGATACATGTAATTTTGCTACTAGAGAACATTTTATGTCGTTCAAAACCCCCTGAGGTAAATTTGTGACATTGGGGTATATATAAAAAATTTACTTGACATGACACTTCAAGATGTGAAGTTTGTTGGGACTAAAGATGGCAGGACATTGAAACTGTTATTCATAAATGGTTGTACATTTTCATTTTGAATGTTTGAAGTTTATGCAGTTATTTAAGTAACTATAGAAGAAATAACATTTTTCTTCAATGCTCGCGTAATCATTTAAATAAAGTAAAATTATTACCATAGACTGGATGTAGTTGTGTCTCTGATTCAGATGTCTAATGATCAAAATGAAAAAAAGAACCCTTTTCTCACTTGTGTGGTGGAATTCAGATATATTGGGACATAAGGTAAATTAGGACAGTATTGTACTTCTGCCCTTAAAAAATGTAGGCCAAAGCAACTGGTGCTGACCAAAATTACTGATATAATACATGTGACGACATGGCTGCGTCTGAAAATCTTGTCTCCCTATCTAGGGAGGACTAGTGAGTGATTTCGGACACAGCCCATGTGACGGGCGTTGTGCTCAACCTGGAAGTTGACTCCACAAAGAATGCTAAATTCTTGTTTTCGTAATAGCTTACAGGTGCCCTAATGTTGCACCTGGTCAGGGTGGTGGTATAATTATATAACTTTAATGTAGTGGAGTGCAAGTGTAAAGTAGCATAAAATATAATACTCAAAAAAAACAAGCTGCAGATGGAAATGTCTGTAGCTGTAGTTCTTAGCCTACTGAAAGGCTATTACTGCTCAGCTCCAAAATGTGGACCCGATTACAGTTAATTGTAACATTTTAATTTCAGCCATATACACAAAATGTGATTTATCAGAACTATTTTTAAATTGTATTTAAAAAGTGTCTGTATGCTAAACTTAATTTTGGGACTGATGGTGGCAGCGGGGGAAAGTGGGCTGATTACCCAGGGCCCCAATGGGGGGAGGGCCTTTGAAAAGCCTGGAATGAAAGTTTTTTAGGTTATTATTTGTAAACATTTTTCAAAAAAGTTAGAGGCATGGACCAAGAGAGGAAGGGGGCCCACAGAGACTGCTTCTGTATAGGTCCCAGAATTTTGTGCTACACTCCAGGATGGTGGTATTCATCTGTGCCTTGAACTGTTGGAAATGAGGCCAGAGGTGAGCTGTGGAGTTAAGCAATGTTGAATAAATGACATAATGTTGCTGTTTTATTAACAAGAAAGGTAAACTGGCAAAATACATCGAAACTGCGTTTTTGTGTAGGGATGAAATACATTTTTTAAATATCACGGACTTGTATTTGGGTAGTTGAAAAAACATGGAGTAAAAAAACATTTTCTTCTAAAACACCATTTTTAAAGAGAAAAACATATGTTGTGTAAAATCAGATTTTTAAGAAAATATACATATTTCTACATATACATGACATAAATGAATGCCATTTACTAAAATAGACACTTGTAACATTATGCCTGCTGAGGTATTTATCAACATTTTTATGCGTGTCATTTTATTTTATAAAAGTTGTAATTTATTGAACCATACTTGAGACAGTCACACCACTGGACAATGTTGAGGTTTTGCTCAAAAATGTAACAAAGCTGGTCCTTGCGAAACAAATAAAACTTTAACCATTTACTGCACTTTAAATCACGACAAAATAATTTTTAGTAATTTTAATCCTCTGTGACAGTGAAATTGCCAGGTCACGTCAACAACCCATTTTTCTTTACTTTTGTCGCATCCTGTGACATCATCTTCATTGGTTTATCAGGGGTCACATGACAGAGTGAAACCCGGAAGCTATAGCCACAGCTGCGGCAGGTAGGCTCTTGCCTCCTATGTGTCCAGGTAGTGAAATGAAAACAAGCAGAAGTGAAACTTGAGATGCCATCGCGACAACATTTTGAGGACTAAATCCGCCTAAATCAAACCACTGTGCCGGTAAACGCTGTTTTCTGGCTTCGACGTTAAGTGGACTATGCACTACCACAGCTACATCTGTGTTTTCCTGTTGGGTTTGTATTCTTGGGGATGTCTCCCATGTGTCTCTGCCTGCAAACATGAGCCAGAGACTCCAGACTGGAGGATGACTTTGAAAACTATCCGTAACGGAATACACAAGATTGACACGTACCTGAATGCAGCACTGGATTTGTTTGGTGGCGATGACGGACTTTGTCATTATAGGTGCAGTGATGGTAAGCTAGCTTCTTTATTTCTTCTTTCAGGTCCTTTCTCACAGTGAGCAACTGATTTGTCAGACACATGTGTAACTAATAACTCTAATAGTGTTTGTGTTTTATTTAGTGAGTGTGTCAGGACCCCTTGTACCATCATGCAGCATGCTATGTTAAGATAGCACACCTAAACACCAAGGATAGTATTCATACCTGTGCTTTTCCTTGCTGTGTCAAGTCAAAATAAAAGTAGAGCTTTTGCTAAACTTGGGAGCCAGAAGATAAACATTACGCCCCTTGAGTGAACACCGTAAACCATTAAGTCTTCTGTGATCTGTCTGGTTATCTCTGACAGTAAGATAACTGACTGTGCCAGAACAAGAAACATCTTCATCTTTGCTCCTCTCTCACAGGTTACAAGCCGGTGCCTCGTCCCGGGTACAAGCAACCACCACCCAACGGATGTGGCTCCCCGCTGTTTGGATTTCAGGTAATCTAACATAGTTTGAGAGGGTGGAGGTTTTTTACATGTCTGAGACAAGCAAAATTGGTTTACCATGTGATTCCTGACGTAGAGAACAATGCAAACTGCAGTATCCTTGTGCACTGAATGTTTCCTAATATTTTGTCTTTTAAAGTAGGATGTGAAGATTTTTTACGTTGTGAATGTACTGTATGTGTAAACACATTCAAAACACAAGTTTAGTCCATATTACAACAAAATAAAATAGAGCCTCGCTGTTATATTGGTCCAGGTTGGTATTAGTGTAATACAGTCATGCCAGATATACAGATGGGTGTTGAAATAAAGTAAAAATCAACATTAAGTGTTTTACTATGGAGCCAGGCCACCACGAGCCTCCAGAACAGCTTCTGTGCTCCTAGCCAACTTCATGGAACTCTGTTGGAGGGATGAACACAGTTCCTCTACAAGATATTACCTCATCTATAGTAAGGATGCACCAATTCAATGATACTTTGGGTATCGGCTGATGCTGAGTACTGATCGGATACGAGTGTAAAATGAATAAGCTGTATTTCTCACTGTGAGGAAGAGACTGGGAATCATTCTTTTCAACATAAGGCTTGACTTTAACATTGCTTCCTAACTTTGTCTTACATGTTGGTCCAAAATCATCCATAGGTGTGAAACTGGTTTGAGATATGGTAACTGTAAAGTCAATTCAAGTCACTTTATTTATATAGCACATTTAAAAACAACAGGAGTTGACCCAAAGTGCTTTCCAAATCCAATATACACAAATACAAGTATACACGAATAAAAGGAATAAAGAGTATATACAATTGTGTGTCCAGGTACACAGTATACACAAACACTAGTGTATGTGTACAAATGTACACATTATTAAACAGAATAAGGAGTACTCGGTTAAAATCAAATTCAAGAAAAACTAAAAGGAAATCAATATGACCCACGTCAGATTAAAACACTGTGAGAGTACGTTTAATGAAACGAAATAATTCAAAAGTGAGCCTGACAAAAACCATTGAGTCAGAATGAGGTAAAAGCTGGAGAAAAAAGGAAGGTCTTTAAATTAGATTTGAAATTCTCAATGGTGGGGGCTTAATGTCGGACAAGAGACTATTCCTAAGTCTGGGGCAGCAACAGAAAAGGCTCCTTTGGTTGTAAGAGGTGAGTAGGGTACTAGTTGTTGTGAGGATGACCTAAGCGGTCAGGCTGTAAAGGCTATAGCATTTTATTTACATCATTTTCATACAACATACCATTCAGTGAGTGCAAGGAAGCATCTGGATTTAATAGATCATTTACCATACCATTGTCCACCCACGAGTGTTTTTAAGTTTATTTTCAACTATGAGATGAACACACCTCTTTAATAACCAAATTTAAGGGATCATTTTTAAAAATGTTTAGTTATCTTATGCATTAACATAAAAAAAACTGATATCAGCCAATACATTGTTATTGCAATCGGGCTTCAGTAAAAAATACTAAATGCTAGACCCAAATTAGCTAGATACAGATTTTTTCCACACATTTGATCATGTGATATAAAGTAGAACATGAAGGGCTCTCTTTTTGTGACTCATTGTTATATTTCGCTGGACCATTATCACGTCATTTTATCATAATATTTAATATAATCCACGTCTCCTGCAGGCAGTATAATTTGAATGTCAGTTGAAAATCCATTATAAAGAGTGACAAACCTGTTTTTTTTGTTGGTTTTTTTTGCAGTTTGACATAGGCATCCCGTCCATGACCAAGTGTTGTAACCAACATGACCGCTGCTATGATACCTGCGGCCGTGAGAAACACGACTGCGATGAGCAGTTCCAGGATTGTCTTGAGACCATCTGCAGGAATGTGCAAAGGACTCTGGGATTGGCCCAGAGTGTCCAAGGTGAGAGGCTGAGGATGAGATGGAGATTCATTTAGTATTCAAAATACTAAAAAATACAAAAATCTGTTTAATATCAATCAATAATCACTAGAAAAATCATAATATATTTTCTATGTAGTTAATTATTTATATTTTGTTAATACTGTGTGATGTTTTATTACTGTGTGGGTATATACAGCACTTCATTCCTAGTGGTGACCCATAATGGAAATGAAGAGATTTACACATCACAGTAGGTGAGGAAGCACAGGTGTAAATAAGAAGACACTGGTGGCTGAATTACATTGGCTGCTCCAGTTTCAGGGCCCTGTTTCTGTGGAATGCTGGATCACTTTCATGACATTTGAATAATAACACTTTTCTTGTCATGACAAGTCAAGATGTCTGCTGTGAAGAAAGCCTTTTACTTGTACTCTGTATACCGTGGCCCTCCCTTGAGATGTGTATACTGAGTCAGGGTTAGCAGTCACTCAGCAGGACCAGTTTCCGAAGTACTACTGTGTATTTCAATACTGTATATTTACAGTTAGTGTTCCACAATAGCGTACAATGTAATCTCATGTTTTGTGTGCGCCTGACAATGCACTCTTCTTAAAAAGTGATGCACTGAACATTTTTACCACAAAATGTAGGCAAGAAGCTATGCTTGTAAAACAGTTTACATTTACATCTAATAAAATGAACATATTAATCTCTGCTGTACTTAAAGGATAAATAAGGAAAGTTATAGAGCACGCTTGTGCATGTAAGTAAATAAGTGTAAAACACAATATGTCCAGCAGAGGGCAAGATAATGTAAATTTTTAAACACTGTGAATCTGAATATTGTTGTCGGATTCAAAAACTAACAGTTGTTCATCAAGACTGACTCATTACCACACTGTTAACTCTTAATTCACTGTAATAAGTGAATTAAGAATATATGTATTGTTCTAATCTTGTTTAAGGTTTTGAAAATGTTCCATGTTCTATATTTGAGAATCGAGATTTAGACTTTAATCAAACCTGTCTTGCCACCTGGTTCTCTATGATGCTCTACCTGTGAATATTGCTGTGAGGTGTTTTATAATTTCATTCTTAAAACAAAAGTAAACCCTAAATGAGATTTTAATCTACAATGAAAAATCGGTATCGCTCACTAAGCTGTATTTAGATTCACATAAAAACATTTTTGATTCACTTCCAGTAACGTGATAGCAGGTACCCGTTTTCAAACCAACTCACCTTTCCCCTGTTGTGTATTTGCTCACGTTCGTCCTCTTGTTTTTTCTCTCCTTGGCAGCTTGTGAGTCAGCAGTGACTCTGCTGTTTGACGCTGTTATGCACTTGGGATGTAAACCATACTTGGACAGCCAGAGAGATTCTTGTGTGTGTCAGTATGAAGTGAAGAGGGAACTGTGACGATCAAGATTGTGGAACGGACTGATTCAAAAAGCACAACACTGACAGAAGGATGCCAGCAATAAACTTTTCTTTTAGACTTGTAGATTTTCTCAGGGACAGAGCCTCTTTGCCCTGCACTGACTTGTGTCCGTTGCCTCCCTTTATTGGAGTTTTGAAATTATTAGAAAAAATAGTGAAAATAGTTTTAGAGTGGACAATTAATATATTTTCTATGCAGTTAATTATTTATATTTTGTTAATACTATGTAATGTGTTTGTCCTGTGATGGACTGGAAACGGTTTTCAGGGTTTCCCTTGTTTTTGGATGCTTGGGTAGCACCCATTACTTTATTTTATAGGTTTTTAAATTCCTAATAATGTCTTAAGACGTTTCATGAAAAAAAAGGAATTTGGCACTGATTATAGGTAAAAGAGAGTGTTTATTTTGTACTCTTAAATTGATTAAATCAAATGAAATGCTAAACTAGCTAAACCAGGAGTTGCTTTTATTTTGTTAGGTTAGCCAAAAATGTGAGATTTGTCCACAGGCAAACAAATCATAATGTTTCTAATAATAAATGAATGATGAGTAGCTATTTGCTTGTGTGTAAATGGAGTTCTTCTTTTGAGGACTTTTCCCTGTAAACAGCACCAAATTTACATAAGGTCTTTCCAGGAAACTTTAAAGAAATGATTATGATATAATGGGCACCACTGTGGCCACACAGCAACAAGGTTGTGGGTTCAAACCCCCGGTTGCCCAGGCCTCTTCTCCCCATGTCTGTGTGGGTTCTCTCTGGGTGCTCCGGCTTCGTCCCACCGCCCAAAGACGTGCGGCCTAGGTTGATTGGTGACCCTAAATTGTCTATGTGTGGCCCTGTGATGGACTGGTGACCTGTCTTTCGCCTGATTGGCTCCAGCGACCCTGTACGCAGGATAAGCGGTTGACGATGGATGGATGACCCCCCCATCACTGGCGTGATAAATAACAAAGTCAACAATGTCTGTTTCTAAAGCATCTAAAAGATTTGTGGTCTTCTCTTTATAAAATGTGTGAAATATTTGTAAGATATCAAATGAATGTACTGGTGAACTCAAGTGATCCAACTGTAGTAAGCTAACACCGTGGGGAAAGAAACTTGTGTTAAACTGTCATAAAAATAATAAACAAGCTTTTGTTGATAGTCCTGTGTGTCAGTTGTCATCATAGACATGTTTGTAGAAACTGTGTTCTCCCCGGAGAATGAGAGGGTCACCTTTGTGTAACTACGAGATGCTGAGAGGAACTATGACTGTTTGTTCCTATTTGCACAAACAGCTCTAGAGCACTACATGGAATTGGCCATAAGAAACACCATGGTCAAGTGGAGGCTATAGGTTAACAATGGATGATCGGCTTTGTGGTCAAGTCATCGAATCGGTGGCCGTAAGTCTTGGACACTTGGGTGAAGAGAGCAGCAGAGCTATCCTGATCACCGCTTGGTGGTGCGTTGGATCAGATGGCGGGGGTGACCAGTGTTTCCCACAGGATTTTGTGAGATTGTGGAGGGTGGACTTCGGACCCTCTGGGGTGTCCGGGGACATTCTCCCCCAGGAGAAATGTTTTTACATTTTAAAATGAAATGGATCAGTCTGTTGTAGGCCTCCTTTCTGAGAAAAAAAAATTAGAGGTTGATCTTTAAGAATGAAGTTGAATCATAAACACATTATGGGGTTTTCCTATAGTTTGCTGTGCTAAGATTTCATGAATATGACAAATTATAAAATACATGGCAAACTAAGGCAAACAGGGTAAATACAGACAATTGTAACAATTCACTTAACGAGTGTGCCGTGGTTAAGTCATACAAAAAAAGTGGACAAAGAAGGTGAAAATAGGTAGGCCCTGTTGCTTTTCTACTTTTTCTGCTTTTTACATGAGCTGTAGTCAACTGGTTAAAAACATTACCTTCAGCTCACTGCCTCCACCGCGGCGTCTCAACATTGCTTGGCAGAGAACGTCTGGACTACATTGCTTAGCCTGCTCCCTGTTCAGTTGATTAATCAGTCATTTTAATTTAAATACCTTTTACAAGTTTAATAATAGCCCTACATAGTACCATCAATCAAATACAAATAATTACTATAAATAGGCCAAGTTTAATAAAACAGTCACAGACATTGAGTAACCTTCCGGTAAATCCTGTTTTATTGCAAAGCTGGCTGGCAGAGCAAATTCATTTGTCATTGGTGTGAAGACAACCTGCGAACATGTCGACTACAGACCGCTGCGGAGGTAAAAACGTAACATTGACTATGTGTTTTTAATGAAAAGTAGGGAGAAGTTGTAGAATACTGTGTTTGGCATTTTAAACATTAGAAAAATAAATGCAATGATTTTAAATGTCCAAAGTTAAAGTCTGTATCACCTGTGACGCTGTTTACTTTCGTTTATGTTCTTACACAAGTGCTGTCACGCCTTTACTGTAAGTCTTCTTTCTCTTGCGTTAGTCACCAAGTTATCATAAGCTAACATGTGAGGCAGGTTTTTATTATCATTAAACCATTCTTAATGTCAGGACTTTGTCTCTTTGTCTTACCTTTCCCAGGAAGAGGTGCTAAAAACAGCAGAACAGCAACAGACCGGACTGGTAGCTGCTGTACACTAAGTTACATACTATTTTTAAAGCTTGTGTACTTCTATAAAAGTTTCAAATTTGAGAGGAGAAGTGTTTGTTCTTATCAAAAGTAAAACAAACAGGGCCTTGTTACCAGTGGATCAACTTCCTTGATTGGGAAATTATACCCTGTCCACATGATTGACAGAAATAATCACTGCAGTTTGAGTTGATGACTGCTGACTGTAATTTGGCTTCTTTGGCAAAAAAATCATAAATTGTCCAAAATGACAAGTTTAATCTAAACCTCTATGAAACTGAAGGAAGCTGAACATTACAAACTTTGTTAAAGTAGGATTATTTCTGGACTGTGATAATTGTATTGCATAAGGCTTAGACTGCCGGGGACTTCTCATGATGCACTGAGCTCCTCTCTCCTCATCTGTATGCAACCTTATCCCATTAATGCACGTTACCAACCCAACTATTTTCCTTTCCTATTGTCTTGTGCTTTCTCATCCCTCTCCTCTCTCGATTTCTGCATGTGTTTATGGCTCTGGAGCTGTGGAGTCTGGATCTGTGGTTATGAGTCACCTGCTGCTACCATGTTCCTGCTCAACACCTTTTGTTACAATTATTATTACAAGTCTTATTAGTATTATTATTATTAGTAAGCCTACTATAATTATCTGTAACATTGTTCCTTTTCGGTCTGTACCACTCCTACCTTTACTGTTTGTATTTCTGTGTGGATATTGTGTTGGCTGCTCCCCCCTACCCCACCAGCTCTCTCTCGTTGTGTTAAACTGTCATAAAAATAATAAACAAGCTTTTGTTGATAGTTCTCTGTGTCAGTTGTCATCATAGACATGTTTGTAGAAACTGTGTTTTCCCCGGAGAATGAGAGGGTCACCTTTGTGTAACTACGAGATGCTGAGAGGAACTATGACTGTTGTTTGTTCCTATTTGCACAAACAGCTCTAGAGCACTACTGGTCTGTACCACTCCTATCTTTACTGTTTGTATTTCTATGTGGATATTGTGTTGGCTGTTCCCCCCCTTCCCCACCAGCCCTCTCTCTCTCTCCCTCACCCCCAACTGGTCGAGGCAGATGGCCGCCCACCCTGAGCCATGGTTCTGCTCAAGGTTTCTGTCTCTTAAAAGGAAGTTTTTTCTCGCCTGTGTCACCAAGTGCTTGCTCATGGTGGGAATTGTTGGGTCTTGGGTCTCTGTAGATAAAATCACAAACAGTAGGATCTAGACCTGCTCTATATTCAATTTCAATTCAATTCAATTTTATTTATATAGCGCCAAATCACAACAACAGTTATCTCACAGCGCTTTTCATAAAAGAGCAGGTCTAGACCGTACTCTGTGATGTTGTTTACAGAAGCCCAACAGTTCCCACCAAGAGCAAGCACTAGGCGACAGAGGCAAGGAAAAACTTCCTTTTAAGAGGCAGAAACCTCGAGCAGAACCATGGCTCAGGGTGGGCGGCCATCTGCCTCGACCGGTTGGGGGAGAGAGAGAGAGAGAGAGAGAGAGATGTAAGAGAGAGAGAGGGGAGGGAGGCAGCCTACACAATATACACACAGAGGTACAGACAGTGAAGGTAATGTTGCTATAGACTAAATGAAAAATGGTACAGATATTTATAATAGTGTTAATGGTAACCATCGTAATGTTAATGATTATAATAACAATAATAACAATAAGACTAGCAACAATAGTCGTTGCAGTAGAGGTGTCGAGCAGGAACACAGGGGCAGCAGGTGACCCGCAGCCACAGCTCCAGACTCCACAGCTCCAGAGCCAGAAAACCTGCAGGAAGTGATAGGAGAAGGAGAGAGACGAGAAAGCACAAGACTACCAGAAAGGGGAGAAGTTGTGTTAGTAACATGCAATAATGGGATAAGATTGCATACAGAGGGAGAGAAAGTAGAGGAGAGAGGAGCTCAGTGCATCATGGGAAATCCCCCGGCAGTCTAGGCCTATAGCAGCATAACTAAGGGATGGTTCAGGACTACCTGAGCCAGCCCTAACTATAAGCTTTATCAAAGAGGAAAGTCTTAAGCCTACTCTTAAATGTGGAGATGGTGTCTGCCTCCTGAACCCAAACTGGAACCTGGTTCCACAGGAGAGGAGCTTGATAGCTGAACGCTCTGGCTCCTAGTCTACTTTTGGAGACTCTAGGAACCACAAGTAACCCTGCATTCTGGGAGCGCAGTGCTCTGGTGGGGTAGTAAGGTACTATGAGCTCTTTAAGATAAGATGGTGCCTGACCATTAAGAGCTTTGTAGGTAAGAAGAATGATTTTAAATTCTATTCTGGATTTTACTGGAAGCCAATGCAAAGAAGCTCAACAGGAGAAATGTTCTCTTTTCCTGGTTCCTGTCAGAACACGTGCTGCAGCATTCTGGATCAGCTGAAGAGTCTTAATGGACTTTTTCGAGCAGCCTGATAATAAGGAATTGCAGTAATCCAGCCTAGAAGTAACAAATGCATGGACTAGTTTTTCTGCATCATTTTTAGACAGGATGTTCCTGATTTTCGCAATATTACGTAGGTGAAAAAAGGCGGTCCTTGAAATTTGCTTAATGTGAGACTTAAACGACATGTCCTGATCAAAGATAACTCCAAGATTCCTCACAGTGGTGCTGGAGGCCAAGGCGATGCCATCCAGGGAAACTATATCTTTAGATAATGCGTCACGGAGGTGCTTAGGCCCCAGAGCAATAACTTCAGTTTTATCTGAGTTTAACATTAGAAAATTACAGGTCATCCAGGTTTTAACATCCTGAAGGCACATTTGAAGTTTAGCTAACTGATGAGTTTCATCTGGCTTGATCGATAGATATAACTGAGTATCATCTGCATAACAATGAAAGCTTATGGAATGTTTCCTGATAATATTGCCTAAAGGAAGCATATATAAAGTGAAGAGGATTGGTCCAAGGACAGATCCTTGAGGAACTCCATGAGTAACTTTGGCGTGCATGGAGGACTCATCGTTAACATGTACAAACTGAAATCGATCTGATAAATAGGACTTAAACCAGCTTAGAGCGGTTCCTTTAATGCCAATGAAATATTCCAGTCTCTGCAATAGGATCTGATGGTCAATGGTATCAAATGCAGCACTAAGATCTAATAAAACCAGTACAGAGACAAGTCCTTTGTCTGATGCAATAAGGAGGTCATTAGTAATTTTCACCAGTGCTGTCTCTGTGCTATGATGACTCTAAATCCTGACTGAAAATCCTCAAATAAACTATTGCTCTGTAGAAAGTCACACAGCTGTTTAGCAACTGCTTTCTCCAGAACCTTAGAGAGAAATGGAAGGTTAGATATAGGTCTATAGTTTGATAAAACATCCGGATCAAGTTTGGGCTTTTTCAGAAGAGGTTTAATTACAGCTACTTTAAAGTACTGTGGTACATAGCCTGTTGATAAAGATAGATTGATCATATCTAGTATAGAGGTGCTGACTAAGGGTAAACATCTTTAAGCAGCCTAGTCGGGATGGGGTCTAAGAGGCAGGTTGATGGTTTAGATGAAGAAATTATTGAAGTTAGTTGGTAAAGATTGAGGGAAGCAAAACAGTCTAAACATGTATCTGGTTCTACAGCTGTTTCTAAGGTTCCTGAGTTAAGAGATAAGTCGGTGCCAATTGAGGGCAGGTCTTGGTGAATTTTGTCTCTAATAGCTAGAATTTTATCATTAAAGAAGCTCATGAAATCGTAACTACTGAGAGCTATGGGAATACTTGGCTCAATAGAGCTGTGACTCTCTGTCAGCCTGGCTACAGTGCTGAAAAGAAACCTGGGGTTGTTCCTATTTTCCTCTATTAATGACGAGTAGTACGCTGCTCTAGCATTATGGAGGGCCTTCCTATAAGTTTTAAGACTATCTTGCCAAATTAAACGAGAATTTTCCACTTTGGTGGAACGCCAATTCCTCTCAAGTTTCCGTGATATTTGCTTTAATTTGCGAGTTTCAGTATTATACCATGGAGCTAACCATCTTTGTTTTAGTATTTTCTTTTTTAGAGGGGCTACAGAGTCGAGTGTCATTCGCAGCGAGCCTGCAGCACTATCAACAAGATGATCGATTTGGGAGGGACTGAAATTAGCTCCGTTACTTTGTGACTAGATAATGTATTTAGAGCTGATGGAATCGCATCCTTAAATTTAGCTATGGCACTATCAGACAGACATCTTGTATAGAAATTTTTGCCCAATGGCGAGTAGTTCAGCAATACAAACTCAAAAGTTATCAAACAGTGGTCGGATAAAGAGGGATTCTGTGGGAACACCACTAAATGTTCAATTTCAATACCATACACCAAAACAAGGTCGAGGGTGTGGTTAAAACAGTGAGTCGGTTCATGAACACTCTGAGAGAAGCCGATGGAATCTAACAAAGAGATAAACGCAGTACTAAAGCTGTCATTCTCAACATCCACATGAATATTAAAATCTCCTACAATAATAACTTTGTCCGTTTTAAGGACTAAAGTTGACAAAAACTCTGCAAATTCAGATAAGAATTCAGAGTACGGGCCAGGTGCTCGGTACACTATAACAAAAAGAATTGGTTGCAGTGATTTCCAACTTGGGTGCGAAAGACTAAGAACAACACTTTCAAATGAGTTATAGTTTGGTTTAGGTTTAGAGCTGATTAATAGGCTAGAGTCGAAGATAGCTGCAACTCCACCTCCTCGGCCTGTGCCTCGAGGAATGTGAGTATTAATATGACTGGGAGGGGTGGATTCATTTAGGCTAACATATTCTCCATCACCCAGCCAGGTTTCAGTAAGACAAAATAAATCAATATCATAATCTGATATTAGTTCATTTACTAGTACACCTTTAGAAGAGAGAGATCTGATGTTTAAGAGTCCACATTTAACTCTCCTATTCGTTTGCACTATTGCTCTTGTGGTTTTAATTTTTATGAGGTTTTTATGCACAGCTCCTCTTCTGTTTACCTTTTTAAATAATTTCGATGGTCGGGGGCAGACACCGTCACTATAGGATTTTCACTAAGTAACTCCTGAAATGGAGGAGCAGAGAAGTTGTTAGACTGCGACTCTGCGTAGGGTTTTGGGTGGGTAACTGCTGAAAAAGAAGGGCAGAGAAGTGTGTTAAACTGCGACTCTGCCTCCTGGTCTCAACTCTGGGTTGTCATGGATTTGGTCCACTAATAAACTTGGCCAGATTTCTAGAAATGAGAGCTGCTCCTTCCCAAGTGGGATGGATGCCGTCTCTCCGAATCAGATCAGGTCTTCCCTAGAAGGTCTGCCAATGATCAACAAAGCCCACATCGTTTGCTGGACACCACCTCGACAACCAGCGGCGGAATGACGACATGCGGCTATACATGTCATCACTGGTCAGATTTGGCAGGGGTCCAGAGAAAACTACGGTGTCCGACATTGTTTTTGCATATGTACACACCGACTCAACATTAATCTTAGTGACCTCCGATTGGCGTAACCGGGAGTCATTACCGCCGACGTGAATAACAATCTTACTGTATTTACGTTTATCCTTAGCCAGCAGTTTCAAATAAGACTCAATGTCGCCCGCTCTGGCCCCAGGGATGCACTTAACTATGGCCGCTGGCTTCGCTAAATTCACGTTTCTCAAAATGGAGCTGCCAATGATCAGAGTTGGTTTCTCAGCGGGTGTGTCGCTGAGTGGGGAAAATCTGTTAGAAACGTGAACAGGTTGATGGTGCCCCGTGGACTTTGAATGCTTACGACTATTCCTCCTTCGGACAGTCACCCAGCCCCCCCCCCTTTCCTGGCTGCACAGGGGATGCCGGAGGACGGCTACCAGAGGCTAACTCAGGCCGTTCCGCACCGACTACCGGGGACTGGCTAGCTACAGTAGCTAAAGACTGATCTACCAAGGTGCGGAGCCGGACTTCTAAATCACTGAGCCTCGCCTCCATGTCTATAAATAAACTACACTTATTACATGTACCATTACCGCTAAAGGAGGCAGAGGAGTAACTGAACATCTGACACACCGAGCAGGAGAAAGTAGGAGAGAGAGAGGGAGAAGGAGAAGCCATCGCTAGCTGCTAAGCTAAAGTCGCTAACGGCTAAGCTAAAGTACTGTAGCGTCAGTTACCAAAACTTTAGAGCAACTATGAGATTGAACAGCAGTCACTAAAAGATGGAAAGAACTGTGAGTGCTTAGGCAAAATTACTGTAAAGAATAAGTGTTTAGCGAACAGTTGGCCGCTGTAATCAAACAAATGTAACTGTTATTTAGCGAGAGCAGCACAACACGGTACCAACACACAAGCACCGGAAACGGAAATGAGTCGACACGCTTACCGCAATACGTCAGCAGTACGTCAATACGTCGTATGACGTATTGACGTACTGCGTATATGAAAAGTGCAATGAGATAACTTTTGTTGTGAATTGAATTAAATTAGTTTTAGCTAAGTGTACCTACTTAACCAGAAACCAAATGTTTTTTAAAGGTCAGATACCTAGTCATCAAACACCCTAAGTTGTTGTTGTATCTGGTGGAGTATGGAGGTACCACTTTTGGCATCTGTTCTTTTAGCAGCCATTGCCATCTTTCTCCACCTGTCACCCAGCTACTGAAGACCATGAGGACTCTATGCTTGTGGAACAGTGGCTGCTTGAGCAGCAGTGGAGCATTTTATGTACCTGTAGTTGTACTGCTTAACAAAGAAGGAAAATCTTGAAAAGCTTAACCACCCTTTGCATTTTGGCAACTTCAATCACATGTTCAGACTATTTTTGATATAAAAAAACAGCAAAGCCTGACTTTTGAGTGTATTTTTTTTGTAGCATGCACGGAGAACCTGACAGACAATTATGCCAGGTAAACTGTTCCTTCTTGTTTGTGTTGTTGTAAAAGCTGAAAAATCTCACTTCTCTCTGGTCCAGCACTCCACATAATATTGTCTTTGTTCCTGTGCTCTTTTTCATTATACAGTTCTTTACCTTTGGATCCTGCAGAGGAGTACAAAATGGACAACAAACGACGAGGCCTTGCACTTATCTTTAATCAGGAGAGCTTCTCCTGGCGCACACAGTTGAAGGACAGACGTGGAACCAATGCTGACCGGGATAACTTGGAGAAAAGGTATCACTTCCCAGCCAGCTGCTGGTGAGGGAAAACTGTATTTGGGATAACTTAGTGATTAAGAACTTGTCGGTACTTGTACAGTGACTGTAACATTGTGGTAAGATTTTCTAAGAATATCCTGTGTATTTCATGACATGCAGAACTTTTTATCACCTCTCTTTTAGATTGAATAAGCTAAATTTTGAAGTGAAGACTTACAATGACTACAAACAGGAGAAAGTCTTCGATAAAATTAGGCAAGGTAAGCATGTGCAGGATAACTTATAACACATACATGACTAAATATATATTCAGGAGGTAGCACTACAACATTGTTACTGTAATTAGCTGTTTCCTTGTTGTCCTAAACAACAGATCCAACATGTGAAAGGCTGTAGTACAGGTCACTTTTACTTGTTCAGTAGCAAGTTTAACAAATACCTGATGTCCCATCAGCCGCAGAGGCGGACCATTCAGACTCAGACTGCTTTTTGCTCGTCTTCCTGAGCCACGGCGAGAATGATCACGTCTACACCTACGATGGCAAGATCAGCATTCAGGATATCACATCCCTGTTCAAAGGAAACAAGTGTAGGAGCCTTGTGGGAAAGCCAAAGATCTTCATATTACAGGTAGATACAAACAAAAGCCAAAGCTCAATCAAAATAATACTATGATAGGTAGAATATGGGAATGTACAGTATTACCTGTTTTTTTATGTTTTACTTGGAAATTCATGGCTCTTAAAAATAAGTAAAAGTGAATGTGTGTGGCTGTGTCCGCCACTAGGCATGCCGTGGAGACAAGCATGATGACCCAGTGACTGCCTGTGTAGCCGGGGGCGGTGGGTTGGTGACTGAGGAGAATGAGGTGGTGGTGGACGCCAGCGCTGTACACACCCTCCCTGCTGGGGCTGATTTCATCATGTGCTACTCTGTGGCTGAAGGTGAACTCTTAATGTGCTCTTGTTCCAGCATGATGGTTAGATTCATACTTCATTTTATTCATTAATACAGTGCAACAGTAATTCGAAACTATAGTGAATTATTTTAGAAATAGAAGTCACTGTAAATGTCCTTTTGTTTTTGCTGTTCAGTCAATAACTATCCTGCACTGTCCCCTCTTTTGTTTGTTAAGGTTACTTTTCTCACCGTGACCCCATCAACGGCTCCTGGTATGTCCAGGATCTGTGCGAGCTGCTTAAAAAGCATGGGGACTCTCTTGAATTCACAGAATTACTCACGCTGGTCAACAGGAAAGTGTCGATGAGGAGTGTTGGGAACAGTAGGGACCGTAATGCCATTGGGAAGAAGCAAGTACCTTGCTTTGCTTCAATGCTCACTAAGAAGCTCTACTTCCGTCCAACAAAGTAACAGTTTCAGACCTTCAGGTCATTTGTTCCCCAAAGAGTGATTGTGTTTTATTAAATGTGCATTCTTTTTTTGGCAAAAAGTGTATTCACATGATGTCCTTATTTCACCTTTACCCTGGAATTGTTTGGAAATGTCAGTCCTATGTCCTCAGGGTTATTATTTGTTTATTTCAGCTGTCCTAGTGTTTGTAGTTTTCTCAAAAATATAATTGGCACCGGAGTTTCAGAAATTCTATCTTTAACTTTTGCTGTTTTAAGTAGCTTTAAGTAAAAATAATTAAAGGTGCACATGCACATGTGCAGTTTTCTTGTTCTTTCTACATTTGTGTGTGTGCAAAACATGTTAGTGAGGTAGATTGTGACTCTTAAGTGTCTGTATCTGTGGTTAACGATTTAGCTAATGTTGGACCATAAGAAAGTGAACAAAGCAACCAAACTGAGCCAGTTCATCCAATAGTATAATTATCAGTATAATCTAATGCAGGACAGGTGCACCTAAGAATGCTTAAAACTCTACTTAAAAAGTGATGAAAAAACACATCCAATAGCAACCTTCAACCATCACCCCTATTTAACAACATCAAACTGTTTCTCAAACAAACCTCAGTCAAAATTACCATAAAACTTCAATTAATAACTGAGTCCCAAATATGACATCTACCCCGTTTACTGGCCTGGTTTGGGAACACATTCTGACAAATAAATGCAGGTCTCCATTAAACGCCTGGTTTGGTTTTTATAGAAGTTCTTTGGATGTATAAAACCATAAAATGCTGCCGGGTTGCCCACTTTAGCTGCTTCTAAGCTGCTTAGATCATTAATACAAATATTAATGTTTAAACTTATGATCAATATGTCAATATGAACATGCTACACATCGTTAGATTCTCCACAATTCAGTTCAGTTAATTTAACGGAAATGAGCCACAGTCTAATTCATATAGATTTATTGGTGTAACCAGCATGGTACAAGAGATGAAAAAAAAAAAAGTGCTGACTCCTGTTACCTTTGAAGCAATTGTTAAGTCCAAATGTGTCCCTTCCTTGACTGTTTGTATTCCTTTAGTCTGTAAGGGTCCACCGATCAAAACAATCAAAACAACTTTTCATAAAAATTAATCCAAGTTGTGAATAATGTCATGTGAAGTCCATCACCCTCTGTCTGCTAACTTCTGCCACACTTCTCTCATCCTGCAAATTATAGCCCGGGCTATTAATAAAAGTTTTACGGTATGTAAACTTTTATCTTCCATTGAATCCACCATACCTCTTCCAAAAAGATGTTAACATCAGCACTAATAATGAATTCTGGACTGAAATATGCAAAAACACCTTTAGCATGTCCAAGAACACCAATACAAGACTGTGTCAATACAAAGTCATTCACAGAACACATATTACACAACACAAGATGGATATAATGGGACTTACCGGTTCACACATATGCACTCACTGCACCTTTACCACGACTGACCATTACTACCATGCACTCAGGCTCTGTTCACCAGTACAACAACACTTTTGGAAATAAAAAAACACTAAGCTAGCACTGTTCTTTGGATACAACATCCCCCTATCCCAGTTACTGTGCATACTAGGAGACTTGAGTATAAGTGACACATCTCAGAAATAAATCACAACACCTCTACTAGTAGCCCAAAGAACAGAAAACAACTCAGTAGCCCAAAGTGTTTAAATATTTTAACAGAACAGGTAACACAGGAACACTAAGGCCTATAAAATACCTGGTGCACTAGCTGTCAATTTGTTGCTATCAGAAAAGAGGTAGTGCAGCATGGTTTTGGATCCAAAACTATTCTGGACTACCTCTTTTCCGATAGCAATGTTTACCTTGGCACAGCTGCTTCAGAGCACAAGACCAGTGATGTGACTGACTAGTAGTGTTGTAGTCAAGACCACCCAAACGGAGACCAAGTCAAGGCCAAGACCGGAGTTTATCGAGATCGAGACAAGACCAAGCATTTTAGGGGCTGAGAGCAGTCGAGACCAAGACCGAAGGAGGGCGAGACCGAGTCAAGACCAAGACCAGTTCCCTGCATTGCATGGCACGCAATAAAATGTGGAACGAGATCATAGGTACTTCTCAAATTGATCTGAAAGATCCACATTCCCATTAAAACACCTACATACAAACACTAAGAGCTGAAATTAACGTAAGCATCGCAGGGAGGGGTGACAGTCATTAATTAGGGTTATTGGTTGCATTTGAAGCAATTTGTTTTACTTCCAATCAAAGTTAGGATGTTAATAAATCAGACAATGCAAAAGCAATTTATTGATATTCCCAAAGTTATGGTCTTGACTAGTCTTGAAATAAAATCCCGAGTCCTCAATGTCCGAGACAGAGACAAGACCGAGTACAAATGCAGTTAAGACCGAGTACAAATGCAGTTAAGACCAAGACCATCAAGAAGTGGTCTTAAGACCGGTCTCGAGTACTACAACACTACTGACTAGTTCAATATTTAATGGAGGACATATGACTTGTGGAATTACTAGTCATACGTCACTACCCCGTTTTAGCAAGTAGACAACTTTTGCAACTTTAAGCACAAAATTAAGCTCTTTGTCAAAAAATATTTTGCGAACTATGTGGGTTATCAACATTGTAAGGACATTGTCAAAATACAATGGAGCTGGGCTTCAAACCAGGCAGTGGGCGAAGCACTGTGTTTGGTTGAAGAGAACACTCTAGCTACCTTTCTACAGCTTGGCTCACTAAAAATGCATAAAATGAGAGATACAGACCGAAAAACTATGATCTGTCTCACGTTAATCCGGATAATATGCATAAACAATGTAAATCAGAATTGCCCTACAAGAGTTGTAAACTTAAAAATGAGCTTCCATAGGGATGCATAGGGAGGTGAATTTAAGTGATGCAATGATAGTTCTGTGTGTTTTGTAGAAACAATATTCTATGTTTCTTATAAGCAGTATCCTTAACTAAGAGGATTTCAGATTGGAGTCTAGTGACCACTGAGGGTCTGTGACTGGCATCTCATTGATTTCTCAACCAATTAATGAAACATAGCTTTTCTGAAATTTATTTGAAATTGATTTTGTAAGAAAAGGCCACTGAAATAAGGTCTGGATTACATGTTTAGCTCTCCTATTCCTCGGCTGTACAAACCTAAACTCATTTAGATTTTTTAGTATTTATTATATACCTGTACTTTAATGTTTTATGAGTCGTTGCTGCCCCAGGGGACGGGCCAGGCTAAGAGCAATTCACAGACCCCATGAATTGGCCAAGAAGGAGGTGCTGCATGTCACCTGCAACAGGAAAACTGTGGCCTTGCTCGTGGAGCCAGACCTGGAATGGAAGGTAACAGTGAGCATCTTGTGGCCAAGTCTAAATCCATGGGGCCCAGTCGGGAACAGTCCAAAAAAGCTATATGGAGCTGCTACCCCGTGGGCCCACTTAGGCATTGTGGTCAGATGTATTGCCAGCTGGGCAACAAGGCAGAGACGGGGATCTCAGTGTGCTGACCCCTGGCTTTGCATACTGCTTTCAGGCATGTCATATCATCAGATCTGTGGTCATAAGTCTTAATAGACCTTAAGCTGGTGGGGAGTTGAATCAGATGAAGGGGGAGAATACTGGACAGACCCATTAAACTCAAACTGAAAGTGAAACAAACAGGGTAAAGTTATATGGAAATTTGCTTTTATGAGGCAAAGTACAGCCAACTCAAATAAGGTGAGATTAATTATTAACTCAACTCCTTGATAATTACTGTGTGTCATGTAGATAATGACATAATTTGCCCATATTGCCTGTCATCCATTGTCACTTAGAGACTGATCAGTATGGATCTATGGTGCTTTTTTGGGTGGAGTGATAACTCAGAGGTATTAATGGCTAAAGATGTGACAGCTAGCCAATTAAATTGGTTTGTCTTGATTCAATATACGGTACATCATTAATTACTGCACATTCATCACATTTATAACCTACATGAAAGGATTTAACACCTCAGCACCTCTGTAAAACAGCTTCAACAAAGACAGAACATTGTAACCCAGAAGTGGGACCAAGTCATCGTTTTACAAGTCCGAGTCAAGTCTCAAGTCTTAGCAATCAAGTCCCAAGTCGAGTCCCAAGTCCAGACCGATCATGACTGGTCCGAGTCCGAGTCAAGTCTCAAGTCAAGGACCAACAAGTCCAAGTCAAGTCCAAGTCTTAAACTTTGAGTTTCAAGTCCTAAACAAGTCATAATGTGCTGTTCAACAAATGTAAAACCATTTCAAAAGTTCAAAATAAAAAATTTTATTGAATGAAGCATTAGCTTGTACAGAAAGAAGGCAGAGGTGCAGTTTCACACCACAAATTTCATGACTTAAAGTAAATGTTCATGTAGGGCTGCTAATTATTTTGGTCAATATTGAGATCACAGTTATTTAACAGGATTACTCATTGCCTTAGGAAACAAACTATTGAACTTCTAAAATGTAATACTTTCTTTTTAAAAACTATTATATATGCATTACTCCAAAATCTCATATAGCCCATGAAATAAGAAACAATAATCCAACATTGTTAACTTTAAGCAGCATCTATGGTGCAAGAGAACGACAGCAGCACAGTTTCCCCCAAGTTGACAGCTTTGGGTGACGGATGGGTCACTGAGGGGTCTCTGTGTGTATGTTTGTGTAGAAATCGCTATGACGTTAGAAGACGCAGACACCGTGGATATTTTACAAGCACCGATCAGGTAAAGCAACACTGAACACACCTTTTAGACAGGGACGAGCAGCCCAGCTGTAAAGGAAAGAGGTGCGCTGGATTTATAAAACAAAACGAGTGTCGTTGTGAAACAGCACCCGGCGCTATTATCGTTTTATCTTAATTAATTTTTTTTATAATTGGTGGAAGCAGCTTCATGCAACAGTTTTGGCAATCTCTCTGTTTCGACCTGACCTTTCTTTTCTTTTCTCCGTGAGATGGAGGAATTTAGAAAGTTTAGAAATGCCCCCAGCTGTTGTGCATGAATTATGCGTAAAATTCATCCAGCCATAGGGTCCGATCAGGAACGGTTCACAGCGCGCCGGTAGTAGGCCTACTACACAACCCATTGTAGGCACCGGAGAGGGAGTGGGTCACTGGGGCGTACAGGGCCTGGGACAGGAGATCGCGGAGCGGCAGCCGGCAATTGTTCCCTCTTGCTGGAGGGAGCCACACGCTCCAGTCTAATTGAACACAGCTATGTTGATGCGCTGCGCAAGTTAATATCATAATTTATTTTTGGGCGTGGGGAGTGTCAAGTCAGCTCAAGTCAAAACGCTCAAGTCCAAGTGAAGTCGCGAGTCATTGGTGTTAAATTCAAAGTCTAGTCGCAAGCATGGACTGTATGGTCGCAAGTCTTCTTTGATAAAGTCATCATTTTTGTGACTCGAGTCCACACCTCTGTTGTAACCTCAGTGAAAGGAGTTTTTTAAATGGCAGCACTGTCTTATTTAACTGCATTCGATTTTATCTATACCTAATACACCGATAAATGTGTATTAGAACAGGAAAAAATAATTTAGCTTGCTGGGTTGTCCCTACTTTAAAGCACCATTTAAAATTCTATGCTGATCAGTTTCTCAATGACAAATAATCACAGAGACAATTATGTCTCTAAACAATAGATAATCAAGGTAGTTTGAGTTGATGATTCATTTTGACAGATTTGAGCTGTACTTTTGCATTACTAGCAATAAATAACATAGCATCCAATATTATTATTGAGTTGAATCTACACCTCTAACTGTTTAAAATCAAAGTGATCATTATGACCTTCATTAAAGTAGGATTTAGTTAACACACACCTTATCTCCACTCCACCATACAACACAAACCATTACATGCATCCAACACAATTCAATACATTTACACGGGTGGGCAGAGGGGTTGAGGGTGAGGGGGGTCTCATTGGCCCCATTTTCTGCCCCTGGAGGCTCTCTGCTGTTCTCCTTTTGGGCGGGGCGAGTCTGTCCCTGGGGTATGTGGTCTCGAGTCCTTTGCACTCTGGGAAGGTTGCAGGGTGCCCTGGCTGCTGGGGTTCTTGTCTGCCTGCGGTCAGGGCTGGTGAGGCGCTGTGGCGGCGGCCCACTCTCACTAACAACTACATCCCATAACAGGCTTATATACACCCACAGACACACATACACACACACAAACAAATTTAGGTTGTCCATGGTTGTCAACAGGTAGTTGCATTATTCTTTATGCATATCAATAAGTTATCTATTTAAATTAATCACTCTTATTTCCCTTTTATGGCTGTGCTGGGCTGCTAATTTATTTTGCTTGGCTGTTTCTCCTTTTCATTCTCCCTCAGTTGTTTTCTTATGTCTGCTGTTTATTGCTATAGTTTCGACTGGTTGTCTCCTGTTGACCCCCACCTCTTTCCTCCCAGAGCCCCCACCCTGTTCTTTTGCAGGTGTCTTCGCCTTCTGCAATTTGTGTTTTCCTCTGTTGTTTCCTGTTGTCCTTATCCCCATTCTCTTGCAGGGGCTGTCCTTTCTCTGTGGTGTCTGTTTGTGTGATGTTAGTGCCCTCCATCCCCATTTCTGCCCCCCTGTCCAGCCCACTGACAAATTAATACATAATTAAATACAGTAAATAATCAAGAAGACAAAGGAGTATATTAAAAACTCTCTTTTTAAAGCAAAATCTATCTGGCACAACATGGTATTTAGCTTCTCATACTGGTCACCAGGCTGCTGGGCGGGACAGGTAAAAAAAAACACAAACCCAGGTGTGGGAGAAATTCAGGGAGGAAGGGGAATTAGGGAGCTTGTCTCAGGCTGTGATCAGCAGAACTGCTGACCCTGTCAGGGAAAGACTCCCCAACATGGAAAGTTGTCATACTCAGCCACGTGTTTGAGGGGGAGGAGCTAAATACTTAGCTGTGTTGGATTGACAAAGCAAATTCATTTGTCAGTGGTGTCAGTTTGAGTGAAGACAACCTATGAACATGTGGACTACAGCAGAAGACAGCTGTGGAGGTAACAACTTTTTTACCTGTGTCATTTTAAACGTTGGAAAAATAAATGCAATGACTTTAAATTTCCAATGTAAATTCAGTTTCATCAGGAAAGCTGTTTATTTTTGTTTACTATGTTCTTATAAGTGCTGTCAAGCCTTTACTGTAAGTCTTCTTTCTCTTGAGTTAGTCACCAATTTAGCTTAGGCAGGTTTTTATTGTCATTAAACCATTCTCAATGTCAGGACTTAACTTCTCTTTGTCTCACCTTCCCAGGAAGTGTTGCTAAAGACAGCAGAACAACAACAGACAGGGCTGGTGAGTGCTTAACACTAAGTATACAAAGTACTATTATAACATGTTAAAATAGGAGAGGAGAAAATATTTGCTTTTACCAAATCAAAAGTGAAACAAACAGGGTAAAGTTATATGGAAATTTGCTTTTATTAGTCAAAGTACAGCCAACTCAAATAAGGTGAGATTAATTATTAACTCAAACTTCCTTGATAATTACTGTATGACATAATTTGTCCATATTGCCTGTTATCCGTTGTCACTTAGAAATTGATCATTATGGATCTATGAAGGTGCTTTTTTTGATGGAGTGATAACTCAGAGGTATTAATGGTCAAAGATGTGACAGCTAGCCAACTAAATTGTTTTGTCTTGATTCAGTATACGGTACATCATTAATTACTGTAGCCTACATTCATCACACGTTAACCTTCATGAAAGGATTTAACACCTCAGCACCTCTGTAAAAAAGAAAAAAGAAAACAAAAACGGAACATTGTAACCTCAGTGAAAGGAGTTTTTTAAATTGCAGCACTGTCTTATTTAAATGCATTCGATTTTATCTATACCTAATACACACGATAAATGTGTATTAGAACAAGACAAAACAATTTAGCTTCTAGGCTGTCCCAACTTTAAAGTGCCTTTAAAGTTCCATGCTGATCAGTTTCTCAATTACAAATAATTACAGAGACAATTATATCTCTAAACAATATAATCAAGGTAGTTTTAGTTGATGATTAATCTCACCAGATTTGAGTTGGCTGTACTTTTGCTTTAGCAATAGCAATAAATAACATAGCATCCAAAATGATTATTAAGTTGAATTTACACCTCTATTAAACTGTTTAAAATCAAACTGATCGTTATGACCTTCATTAAAATAGGATTTACTGCATGTTTGATATTGAAAAAGCTGTACCAGATTTTCAGTGCATTATTGTTTGTATTGTAGTAATTGTTGCGTGGGTTATTCGTGTTGTATTTTATAGCATGCACGGAGAATCTAACACAGAGCGATGCCTTCATCAGAAGGTAAACTGTTTCTTCTTGTTTGTGTTGTTGCATCAGCTGAAAATTCTCACTTCTCTCTAGTCCAGCACGGCACATAATATTGTCTTTCTTCCTGTGCTCTTTTTCGTTATACAGCTCTTTACCTTTGGATCCTGCAGAGGAGTACAAGATGGACAACAAACGACGAGGCCTTGCACTCATCTTTAACCAGGAGCGCTTCTTCTGGCGCCTGGGGTTACCTGAAAGAGATGGAACCAATGCTGACCGCTACAACTTGGAGAAAAGGTATCACGTCCTAGCCAGCTGCTGGAGTGGGAACCCAGTATTTCGCATGCTTAAGAACTTGTCTGTGCTTGTTCAGCAAATTGTCTGTACCTGTAGTAACATTTTATTGAAGAATTTCCTGTGTATTTCATATCATACTAAACTTATTATCACGTCTCTCTTAGACTGAATGAGCTTAACTTCGAAGTGAAGGCTTATGATAACTACAAACAGGTGGAAGTCTTAGATAAAATCAGTGAAGGTAAGCACATGTAGGATCACTTCTGGCTGTAGTACAGGCCACTTTTACTTGTTCAGTAGCAAGTTTAACAAATACCTGATGTCCCATCAGCCGCAGAGGCGGACCATTCAGACTCAGACTGCTTTTTGCTCGTCTTCCTGAGCCACGGCAAGGATGATCACGTCTACGCCTACGATGACAAGATCAGCATTCAGGATATCACATCCCTGTTCAAAGGAAACAAGTGTAGGAGCCTTGTGGGAAAGCCAAAGATCTTCATATTACAGGTAGATACAAACAAACGCCAAAGCTCAATCAAACCCATCAGAATATGGGAACGTGCAGAATTAGCTGTTTTTGTGTCCGTCACTAGGCGTGCCGCGGAGACAAACATGATGATCCAGTGACTGCCTGTGATGCCGTGGACAGTGAGTTGAAGACAAATGAGGTGGTGGTTGACGCTAGCGCCGTACACACCCTCCCTGCTGGGGCCGATTTCATCATGTGCTACTCTGTGGCTGAAGGTGAGCCGGCAGAAATAAAACATTAAACAAGATAAAATAAGTACAACAAATATCATGAAAAAGCCATGATAAAAGTGAGTTTTAAGAACAGATTCAAAAGAGGTCACTGAGTGTCTCTGTCTCAGATACTCAGGCAGGAAGGTCCACAGCTGAGGGGCCCAGACAGCAGAAATGTGATTGTTGTTCATAAAATAAATCAATTGAGTGGAGGCAGTTTTTTTCTAAAATCTTCAATAAAAATGGCAGTTTAGTGATTCAGAGTTCAGAAGGGCAGGTGGATGATGTTGAACTGACAGAAAGGTTTCACCGAAGTGGGTTAATGTTGAAGGTGGGTGAGAGGAATAACATCAGTCTCTCTGAATTCTGTGTTAATGTGCTGCCAAATAGCCACTATTTTGGTATAAAAGTAATTAAGAAATTCATCACTTCTCTCTGGGGAGGATTCAGCTGGCTGGCAAAGCGGGGAACCAATCATAGATTTTATGGTTTTAAAGAGTTTAGAAAAACACGAGTTTCTTGCTTCTTTGATTGAACACTTATAAGTGAACATCTGATCTCTAAGAGAAGCAGGTGAGACACTGTGCTTCTTTTTTAAGACTTTTTATATCTGACTGGAGCTGCAGAGAAAGAGCCATTAGCAATGCTGACAGACTCCTCTACATTGAGGACCCGGTATTCATTTATACTAAAAATGTGTTTGATGCAGTAAAAGCTTGACAGAAACGAGGAACAGAGAATTAATGTAGTGCGCTGTAGTGAATCAGTGTGGGGGGTTTGGGGTCATGAGAGAGGAGCAATGCCTTATGATCAGAGACAGCGAAATCCACCACATTCACATCTTCCGCACAGAAACCATAGGAGAGTACAAGGTCAAGTGTGTGTCCTTTGTAAAGGTCTAAATGTTTAACATGTTGGGTAAGATTAAAGTAAAAGTTTGAGAAAATCAGACGTAAACAAGGAGGAAAAAGGGCAACAAACATGGATATTAAAATCAGAGGGAATAAGAACTCGGTCATATTGTAATGACTGATAAGAGGTCTGAAAATTCCTGAATGAAACCAGAACTAACTTGGAAGAAGTAATTTTAACTGTAAAGAGATTGTTTCTGTGTGGAGTGTGAGTAGATTTTCGTCTATTATTGAATTACCGAGGGAAGCAAATTTAAAAACAATATGTCGTTTTTGCCGTTCAGTCAATAACTATCGTGCCCTGTCCCCTTTGTTGTTTGTTAAGGTTACTATTCCCACCGGGAGACCGTCAACGGCTCCTGGTATGTCCAGGATCTGTGCGAGCTGCTTAAAATGTATGGGGACTCCCTTGAATTCACAGAATTACTCACACTGGTCAACAGGAAAGTGTCGATGAGGAGTGTTGGGAACTGTCTTGACCGGAATGCCATTGGGAAGAAGCAAGTACCTTGCTTTGCTTCAATGCTCACCAAGAAGCTCTACTTCCGACCAATAAAGTAACAGTTTCAGACCTGAGTCATGAAATGAGCTGGTTTTCTTGACTGTAACATAAGTTGCATGTCTACAACCCAAACAAACTCTTTACAATTTATTGTACCTTGCTAATGATTCTGTTCACATCAGAGTTTAATACTTAATTATCTCTCTGTATCTCCTTATTAGCACCAATGATATATATGATATATATAATGATAATGAATATCTCAAATAACAGATTATCCAGGCAACACATAAACATGCTGTTTGTCTTCAAACTTTCTCCATCAAAAAAGGAGTTGACATTTGTGCTGTTCTTTGTGTTGTAGTAACTCAGCACAATAAACTAACTAAATTAACAGTCTCAGAACTTGAGCTTTATTTGCATATATGCATGTAGTGATAATCATAGATCGTAATAGAAATGAAGATAAGGATTGAGTATTAATTTGAAAAATGTGTTGCAGAATGTTACTTTTACATTGGGTTGTTATTCATCATATTTTGCATGTTATACTAATCAGTATATTATCTTTTATTAGACAGCATATATTTGCTATATGTAGTCATTATATTCATATAATCTTTGCTATATTGAAACATGGAAAGTGTGCCTGTAACTTGCTATGGTCCAGCTAAGGCCTACTGGGCATGGAGATCCCCTTCCTCCCCCACCTGTTTCTCTTTGAGAGGCACCGACCGGTTTGTAGACTATTACGTGTGAAGAGAGGTCAGCACAGAAAAAGCTAGGCGAAGGGTGATGTCATTAACACTAAAATACTGTAGAGGCGTTAGTAAATTCCAAGATCAAGAACATGATTGTACAAGGATTATAACGTTAAAGCCATTTGTGGGGAAAGGGTATAAAAGCTGGGTTGTAGCAAGTTCAGTAAGTTCTGTATTTTTTTAACCTGTTTGGTGCAAACTCATTTGTCACTGATTAAAGACAATCTGAGGAACCGAAAGTCTGACTGCCTCCATTGTTGTTTGGATCTTCAGTGCTGATTTCTTTCTATTTTTCATCCATCGTCAACCGCTCATCCTGTGTTCAGGGTCACGGGGGGCTGGAGCCAATCCCAGCTGACATGGGGCAAAAGGCGGGGTACACCCTGGACAGGTCAAAAGTCCATCGCAGGGCCACACATAGACAAACAACCACTCACACCTAAGGACAATTTAGGGTCACCAATCAACCTAGGACGCACGTCTTTGGACGGTGGGAGGAAGCTGGAGCACCCGGAGAGAACCCACACAGAAAGGCCGGGGTAACCAAGCTTTATTATTTGATCCCACAAGGGAATAGCGTTCCTGCTCAGATTATTATAGGGGAAATCACTTACAGCGGTTTTAAAGTTTCTAAAGTGTGTTCACGAAACAAACATCCTTTACTGTGCTTGAACATACCACAAATACAGGTAAATTTTAAAACATTTTGCACCGGTTTACTGTGGTTTCCTGGTTGGACGACATATTTCCTCGACAGTGGTGGACAGTAATTAAGTACATTTACTCAAGTTCTGTTAAATACAAATTTGAGGTACTTGTTTTTTACTTGAGTATTTTCTTTACATGCATCTACTTCTCCACTATATCTTAGACAGCAATAATGTACTTTTTACTTATCTGACAGCTTTAGTTAATACTTACTTTATAAATTAAGATTTATATGCACAAATCATGTGAAGCCTTAAAATATGTTTTGTTATATAATAATAATATAAAATTATCCCATATTTTATACAAGTACAGTTTGTTGTTTAAGACATTTTTCAAAGATGAAACTCATCTGTGCAGCTATTTGCTCCTGCAACAGATGAACTGGTTCACTCGCCTGTCACAAAATAGGCTTGGCCTAAACATTTTTGTTTACCCTCTCCTTCACACAAATGGCATGTGAAAGATGTTTCTCCATATTGAAGTTTATCAAGCATCGCCGGAGGAGCAGAATGTCACAGGAAAATCTGAAAGCCCTCATGCTGATGGCCACGGAAAAAAGGGACCTAATGAACCCAGATTCTGATGATGTAATTGACAAGATTGCGGAGAAAAGCAAACTCCTCCGTAGCTTGTTAACTAGGCCTAAATGATTGCAAAAATTATGGTTTTATTTATCATTTAGCTGCTGTATTATTTTGTGCTTTCACATTGAGCCTTTGTATTTGTGCTGAATGGGCCTTTAGTGGAGCATATTAGGTTGTAGCACCCATAGCTCTGCATATGTCACTGTCTGTAGCAATAGTACATGTCGTTTAGGTGTTTGTTCTGTGTTGCAAATTTATGCATTCTAGTCTATCTGTATGGTTTTATGCTTTTTATGTCAACATTTAGGTGGGGTTGTTGTTGGGTTTGAAGAAAGGGCTGGTGTGTTGGGCTGCTTTTTGATCCCGTCACTGCTTACAGGATCTTTTTTTTTTTCATCATAGTGGTGGCAAAGGGCTTCCATACACCCTATATGCCCTTATTATTTACACATGTGACCAATCATTTGGTATCAGATTGGTTACATTACATTTGGAATGATTCCTCCTAAAGTGTTTCATCTCCACTGCTGCCAGTGGCCTGTCAGCTGCTATGGAGGCAGAGGCGTGTCACATTAGATTAACATGGAAGAGGAAGTCAAATCAAATGTTTGGAGACACTTCGGATTTTTCAAGAGAGACGAGACACATGCAATTTGCAAAACATGCCGTGCCGCTATAAAGTACACAGGCAGCACAACTAATCTAAAAATTAACCTACTTGAAGGGGCAACATGGTGTGTGAGTGTGGAGATGTCTCCCTCCCCCTTTGGATTCAGTTCTAGCCAGCCACAGTGGTACTACCAGGCGCCAGCAAGACTGAAGAGCAAAGTATTGCAACTTCCTAAAATTTTTTAACTGTTAAATGTGTGAGGGGTTATGAAAGTGTAACTGGAGGCAGAGAACAGGGAAGAAGGACTGGTTTAAGGCAAGGTCCAGGCCTGGTGTTATTTTATCTTTTGTCAGATAAATATTTTAGAAGTTAAAAAGAAACTGAGTAAATGACATGCCTACAGAGTTTAAGTAGGCTACTAGAGAAACAAATAAGTGAAGTAATTTATGATGTATTTAATTTATGATTAGCCTACTACAATCCAAATTGAATGCTCTGTACCATATTAAATTGCATATCTTATGATTATTCATATGCATGGAGCCTATCGCATCGGGTTGAATAAAATCGTGTTGAATCGCAATTTGGGGTGAATCTTATCATACCACATTTGTAATTGCTTCATATGTATCTTTAATGTATCAGATCAATGGCAATCCGCCTCAGTGATAGAGATGCATTTCCATATTGACGATTCATGAGTTTATTGTTGGACAGGAGAAGAGAATGATGAATATCGCTACATGTGACAATAAAGTATCTTTACCTTTACCTGAGAGCAGAGCAGGAGAGAAGACAGGATAAGAGCAGCAGAGCAGAAAATAGTAGCCTAAAACACGCTTTTAGAAGCTGAGTAAACAGCCTCGTCAAGTCTTTCATCAAGAAAATAATTACTAAGTTACATGTCGGCAATATTTGTAATTTTATGTAACTTTAGTAAGATATTTTTTTATGAAGGCCTAGACCAAGTATATGGTCCCCCGACTAAAACGTGTGGTGAGTGTAGAGACCGCCGAGGAGACTAACACTGAGCTCCCATCCAACAGTTCAAACAGTTTTTCTATCACATATTTTAAGTTGATGTTGATAGAAAATTCCAGTGAAACAACATAAAAAGTACATATTTAGCTGTCACAACCTTCCATTCAGCACAAATACAAAGGCTGCACCAACCATAATCTCACTTTAATCGTTTAGGATTTATTGAAACCCTGTACTTGAACGTTTCATGTGGGAAACACGGAAGTTCCAGGTCTTGTCCTAGCTGTTGATATTTGTCTGACAGACGCGAGAGCCAATCGGGTTCTCTGGTTGTCACAAGCAGCCAGTAAGATTGAGGGGGGCGGGGGATCTAAATCGTGGGTCCTCAATGTTGGATTGACTAAGCAAATTCATTTTAGCGGTGTCAGTCGGAGTAAAGACAGCTCGTGAACATGTCGAATACGGAAGAAGACAGCTGTGGAGGTAACTGTTTTTAAATAAAAGTAGATATAAGTTGTGGACTCCTGCGTGTGGCATTTTAAACGTAAGAAAAATAAATGCAATGACTTCAAATTCCCGGTGTAACTTCACTGAAGCTATTTACTATTGTTTACTATATTTTACATACAAGCTGACACGTCTTTACTGCAAGTCTTCTTTCTCTTCAGTCAGTCACCAAGTTTGTTGGCTATACATTGTAAGCAAGGTTTTTAATGTCATTAAACCATTCTCAATGTCAGTACTTAATTGCTCTTTGTCTCACCTTTCCCAGGAAGTGTTGCTAAAGGCAGCAGAACAGCAACAGACAGGGCTGGTGAGTGCTTAACACTAAGTTACGTGCAATTTTTTCCTCCCTTTTTTTTAAGTTTATATACTTTTTATAAAAGTTTCTTGTGAAAATTAGAGCGGAGGAAACGTCTACTTAACGTGTACTGTTTGTGTACTTTTATCAAAATAAAAGTGAAACAAACAGGGAAAGTTGTAAAGAAATCCGGTTCTGTTGCCAGTGAAGCCAAAGTGCAATAGGTTTAATCATTATCTCAAACATATTTCCCCATATTTCCTGTCATCGTTTGTAAATTAGAAACTCATCAGCAAGAAATTTTAAAGGTGCTTTTGTGGGTGCAGTGACAACTCCGGTAATGAAACTATGACAGCCCAGCTTGCTAACTTGTCTTGTCTTGATCCAATGCACATTCCTGCATGTTTATTAGATATGCCCCGGGTATGCCTAGCTAAAACAAATGCAGCTTAATACAACAGATAAACAACTGTTTATCCAGTTTACAGCAATGAAGGTACATGAAATATTAGAAACACCTCTCATTGTACTCAATGATGATGAAAATGTTTAAAAAGAAGCTGAATATTATAACTTATATGAAAGTAGGATTTATTGCAGGACTGTAATATACTGGCAGTGTATAAACAAGAAAATGCCGCACAAGCAAAGATATATATGTATTTACTTAGATTCCTTTTTGTCAGTCAGATGATACTTTCCAAGTTGTCAAACACCCCTGAGCTGTTGCCTGTAGCACACAAAAGTCTAACCTGCATATCTGTAGGGTGTGGAGACACTTTTGGCATCTGTTCTTTTAGCAGCCGTTGCCATCTTTCTCCACCTGTCACCCAGCTATTGAAGACCACGAGGACTCTAAGCTGGTAGCACAATGGCTGCTTGACCCCATACTAGCAGCAGTGGAGCATTTTGTGCACCTGCAGTTGTACTGCTTAACAAAGAAGCATAATCCTGAAAAGCTCAATCCCCCAATGTATTTTTGCCAACTTCAAACATATATTCAGAGTATTTCTGATATTTAACAAATTAGCAAAGCCTGACTTCTCAGTGCATTACTGTTTATTAATGATATTCTCTATTGTTGCATTGTTTATTCATGTATGTGTTGTTTTTTTATAGCATGCACAGACCACCTAACAGAGACGGATGCCTACATCAGACGGTACAGAACTGTTTCTTCTTGTTCAGCTGAAAATTCTCACTTCTCTCTAGTCCAGCACGGCACATAATATTGTCTTTCTTCCTGTGCTCTTTTTCGTTATACAGCTCTTTACCTTTGGATCCTGCAGAGGAGTACAAGATGAACAACAAACGACGAGGCCTTGCACTCATCTTTAACCAGGAGCGCTTCTTCTGGCGCCTGGGGTTACCTGAAAGAAATGGAACCAATGCTGACCGCTACAACTTGGAGAAAAGGTATCACGTCCTAGCCAGCTGCTGGAGTGGGAACCCAGTATTTCGCATGCTTAAGAACTTGTCTGTGCTTGTTCAGCAAATTGTCTGTACCTGTAGTAACATCTTATTGAAGAATTTCCTGTATTTCATATCATACTAAACTTATTATCACGTCTCTTTTAGACTGAATGAGCTTAACTTCGAAGTGAAGGCTTATGATAACTACAAACAGGTGGAAGTCTTAGATAAAATCAGTGAAGGTAAGCACATGTAGGATCACTTCTGGCTGTAGTACAGGCCACTTTTACTTGTTCAGTAGCAAGTTTAACAAATACCTGATGTCCCATCAGCCGCAGAGGCGGACCATTCAGACTCAGACTGCTTTTTGCTCGTCTTCCTGAGCCACGGCGAGGATGATCACGTCTACACCTACGATGGCAAGATCAGCATTCAGGATATCACATCCCTGTTCAAAGGAAACAAGTGTAGGAGCCTTGTGGGAAAGCCAAAGATCTTCATATTACAGGTAGATGCAAACAAACGCCAAAGCTCAATCAAACCATCAGAATATGGGAACGTGCAGAATTAGCTGTTTTTGTGTCCGTCACTAGGCGTGCCGCGGAGACAAACATGATGATCCAGTGACTGCCTGTGATGCCGTGGACAGTGAGTTGAAGACAAATGAGGTGGTGGTTGACGCTAGCGCCGTACACACCCTCCCTGCTGGGGCCGATTTCATCATGTGCTACTCTGTGGCTGAAGGTGAGCCGGCAGGGGATGTTTAAAACTCTTCATCTGCCTTGAAGATGTAGCAGGAATTCTACTTGGACACTAGAGTGAATTATTTTAGAAAAAGAAGTCACTGTAAATGTCCTTTTATTTTTGCTGTTCAGTCAATAACTATCCTACCCTGTCCCCCGTGTTTGTTAAGGTTACTATTCCCACCGGGAGACCGTCAACGGTCCTGGTATGTCCAGGATCTGTGCGAGCTGCTTAAAATGTATGGGGACTCCCTTGAATTCACAGAATTACTCACGCTGGTCAACAGGAAAGTGTCGATGAGGAGTGTTGGGAACTGTCTTGACCGGAATGCCATTGGGAAGAAGCAAGTACCTTGCTTTGCTTCAATGCTCACCAAGAAGCTCTACTTCCGACCAACAAAGTAACAGTTTCAGACCTCAGTCATAAAATGAGCCGGGTGGGAAACAGGATCTCCTCTGGGAAATTTTAAAGAGATGTTTGTTTTTTCTAGTCCTCTACTGTATGTTAATCATAAACACTATTATTCACATTTGCATTTAACTATAATTAGAAACCTTAAAATTCAGTTGTTGTATATTAACAGGAACAACAACATGCTCTGAAGAATTATGAATATTCTTTTCCTTATGCTATTCAAAATTGTGGTTTCATTTATGATGCAAAGTTTCTCTTCTGGAAAAAAACAGATTTCTTGGCAGATTTATAAAAGGGTTTTAAGGTTTTTGCATTTGCATGACAGAGAACCAAGATAGGCAAAGTATCCGTGGCAGCAGATGGTAGAGGAGAAATCATATTGCTGACCAGCTGTTAGTAAACACGGTACTGTGTGATTTACTGGTTTGTCTGAATTTACAGCAAACATTATAATGCAATCTTATCCAACAGCCCTGAAGTAATTCAAAGTTAGACCAGCACAATGGCGGGTCAATATGGGCTTATTACAGCTACATGTATACACTGACATAAGGGGTGAAAAAGGTAAAAACAGTTATCTTAGAAACAGTGCCAAATATTGTCTATGTCCAGCAAGCTCAATGTTTATATCAGCACAGCAGATTACTATATCTCACAGTGGATCAGATCATTGAGCAGTGGTAAAAGGCAATTTAGTAATTTTCCCAACTCTGATAACCAAATGTGAGGGATCCCTGCAAAAGCAACCACAGCAGATGTGGTTCAGAACCTTATAAAACTTCATCTCTCAATTAAAGTGTATATACTTTACTAGAAATATAACATAAATCTTGGACCAGCAAATGTTATATTTGATAAGGCTGCCCCTTGCTGACTAAACTGATCATGAGGTGAGATGCATTAGGGATCTGTGTGGCTTTTACCACAACAAACACTTTTCTGGGGAAGACCTGAATGCTTAATTACAATCATTATTTTACTTCCCTGATGACCAATTTAGTTTCCAGTGTCAGGGTGACTTCATATCCAATACTGACTTATAAGACTATGACATTTATTTTTTGCTTCAGACAGAACACAAATCAGTGTTGTGAGTTTATCATTTATGGTCTTCTATTGGATTGCTTTATGTTTTCAAGGTGTTCCTCTTATTTTGTCCAGCTCTACGATATAGATCAGATTTTGTGCTTTCAGAAATTATTATGGACCCATATTCTTTGTTAGTTGCCTTTCGTCACATTTTTAACTTGCTTGTTTAATCAAATTTAAACTGCTGTGGTACTAGACAAATGCTGACTTTATCCTGCAGGTGACTTTTGTTTAACATTCTACAAGATTGCCTTGCAAAGGGAAGCTTTCCTCAGACTTAACATTGTTTCTGAGGAAGATGGAAATGACAGGCAAGTCAGGATTCCTTAAATACAGTCTGGCAGGTCCACAAGCCAGACAAAAACTTTCCAACTATACTGCATCTTGCGAGGCATGTGACATAACAGCATGAGAACCATGTACTTCTAATGATTTTGTTTACTTCAGGGTTTAACACTTATCTTTCTAATTACAAATTATGTAGTAATATGTCTTATAGTAGGTTTATCCAGGCACTACATAAACATGCTGTTTGTCTTCAAACTCGCTCCATCAAAAAGGGAATTCATGGTTGTGCTGCTGTTTGTTGTAGTAGTAAACTGTATTCAATTTAATAATGCGTATTTGCACTCAAAAAGGCAACAAATACCAGTGTGGGAAGAACCTCAGGCAGGAGGGGTGTTTTTAAAGCTGTACTCTGGACATAAAACACTTGTAGCTGTGTCACATGATCTATGACTCAGGAAAATCAAAAGCTACCAGCATACAATGATCCTGTATTTTTGTGGTGTTATTGTTGTGAGTTTTTGTATAAAAACTGTCTGTTGTATAAAATCTGTGTGACATTTTTGTTGCTTTTTTGCTCCCCATAGAGTGATTGTTTTATAAAACAAGACATCAGGCAGACAGGAGATTCTCCCAATGTTAGGGAAATACTTTTTACTTCAATAGTCCTCAGTGTTTATACTTTTCTGAAAGATATAATTGGCATCATTATCAAGACTAAACAAAACACAGAATGACATGGATTCCTGGTAAAAAGGCACCATTATTAAAATAAAGCAGAAAATTTGTTTTTGCTCCGGCGTGAATAAGTGCCATGAGTCACGGCTTGGCTTCATTCATGGCTTTGGTTGGATCTGTTCCAGTGGTAGCTGAAGTTGAGTTGGATCTCTCAGACGTCTCAGGTCCTCCTCCACCTGACACACAGAACAGTCACACAGTCTTATTACTAATGATTAGTTCAGTGGGATTTCCAGAAGGCATAACTGTTATAGTGTCTAATAACAATGAATGGATGAGAGTGCAATTATCTTAAATAATTTTTATCTAATTATAACTTTTTAGCCACACTGGCGGCGTGGCTTTGATGATCCTTTGGTTTAGATTAAAATATCAACAATTATTGGTTGGACTGCCATGAACTTCCTCATGGTGAATTATAATAGGTTCGTTCGAAATGACTGCGGCTAACTTTCGCAGGGGCGGGGTATAATACGGCGCCGTGAAGTCGGACACATCCAACCTGCTTCAGCTTGGTGTGAGCTGAGATCAATGAAAGCATCTGCACAGAAAAATGCCGCGAGATCAGGCAAAAGTGTGGTTCCAACTTTGTGCAGCCGGAGAAAAGCAACTGCGGCCACCGGACTCTGCGCCTACAGCCGCCTTGCTCCCGGTTTAAATGTCATGTGACATGGTGACGTTTTGCAGCGCCGGTGTTTTGACGATCTATGCTGCCTTGTCGAAAAATGCTACCGTTGCGCAAATCGACAGCAGAGTCTATCTAGTCGCTCTGCCCTATCGAAAAATGCCACCTTATGTGTTCCCTTTTCCAATCCCATAGTTATAACTCTCACAGTATTATGATTTGATTATATTATAACATTTCAGCGGTAGTGTATTCTGACTAATATCCCCTATCAAATAATGCTCCGATTCCAGAATCATTTTATATTGCACCACTACTCACTCCATGTGTCAGTCTCAGCAGAACTTTGTGTTTAGTGCTAATTAGCAGATGTCAGCATGCCATATGCTACGTTACGATAACTAACATGGATAACATGGCTGCCAAATCAGCATGTTATTATTGTCAGCAAGTGTGTTATTTGATTTAAATGGTGGATAGTGGTACACTGGAATTTCAGAAATTCTATCTTTCATTTTTGATCTTACACTTTAAGAATGTTAATAGTTCAATTATAGCAGGTGTGCAGTTTACTTGTTAGTGAGGTAGATTGTGACTAGTGCTATGGATTTGGCTAATGTAAAAAGTGAATCAAACAACCAACCTGATTCAGTTCATCCTTCAGTTCGTTGTATTTATTCACGTCAAATTTCTTCCTGCTGGCCCCTTTATAGAAGTAATTCAGGAACTGTCTGTCTTTAACTTCTGGGTATACATAATCCTGAGGGAAAGAATAAAGTAGGATTGTTATTAATGTGGGGAGGAAAAAACATATCTGCATGATTTTGTACAACTGAGCTTCATGTTTAATTAACCATATGTTAAAAAAAATTGTATGTCGTCTTAGGAAATGTGCTAATTTGCTTTTTTGCAGAGAGTTAGATGAGAAGACTGATATCACTGTTGTACCTCTGTTAAATATTAAACCAGCGCTAGCTAGCAGTTAGCTTAGCATAAAGACTGGGGAATGGGGAAACCGTTATCCTGGCTTTGTCTGTATGTAACATTATCCACCTATCAACACCTAATTAACACATACTATCTAGTTTAATCCATACAATGACCGAAGAAATGACAATTTATGGTTTTATGGTCTGTGGTTATGTGCCTAAGTACCTCTTGGCCTGGCGCAGTGACTTCCTGGAGTCTTGTTGTGAAGTCACTGCAGCCGGCCAATGAATAGGTCCAGCACTAAATCTCATATAAAAACTACAATTTGTTTGGTAGACAGATTTTATTACGTTCAGACAGAGCCAGTCTAAACTAACTGCTGCTGCCTTTAGTTTTCCTATTTAATGGACAGACATGCATTGTATTGAGCTTCTCATCTAACTCTAAAGCGAATAAACACATTTCCCAAAATGTCAAGCTATTCCTTTACATTAAAATCAGTTAAAGTCCACAACAAAAGTGACATTTTTGTTTTATGTCCCTGAGACTTGCCTGTTTGGTAAGGACATAATAGCTGAAGGCTCCAATGCTGGTGGCGTATGTGATGAAGTAAGTGACGGGCTCCATGACGTCCCATGAATAGACCCACCAGGTGAGCCAGGCCAGAGCGCCACCCTGGACAGATAACAGGGCCATGCCGGTCCAGAGAACCCTGGAGGTATGGAACGCCGCTCTATGAGTCAGCTGTGCCTTTATCTGTTAGGCAGTAATAAAAATGAGAGATGGGTTACCAGCCAATTTGTAGAAACCTGTCCAACCAAACAGGAAAGATATGTCACTTTCAACACAGTGCTAAAAATAGACTCAAGGGGCTGGAACGAGGGAGAGGTTTAATGGCATACAGATGTTGAAACGCATCCACTACCTTCTCCAGGGGTGACAGCTCCTGTTTGAGGTTGTCCAGTCTCTTCAGCAGCTGCCTCTCTTTAAGCAGGTGGTGTTGAGGCAGGTGGAGCGCTGTGTGCAGCAGATGCACAACATGCTTCATGTCCTCTAGCTCCACGGCACGTTCACTGGATGTACACACTGCAACAGAGGGTACGACAAAAAAATGGACGGGGAGGAGAAGAAGAGATGAAATGTACGATAAGTCATGCCTGGAGACAATAGCTATTTATCAGCAGGCCTAAGTTGTAATTGTGAAGCAGACAAAATGAGGACCATTTATGCCCAAAGACAAGTGTGTTTGTACCATTTTCAGGAGAGCAGACGTTATAAACTGCACCATTGATGACGAGCTGGAAATCCTTGCCCAGTAGAGCGTCTATCAGTGTGTTGTTGGCTACACGCTCTCCATCTGTCAGAAGAGGACAAATGTCCAACTCAGTATTCTCAGCAGTCATTTAACTTCATTCAGAGCTGACTGACTTTTTCAAGCATTTAGGGCGGGTGTTTAATCCAATTTAATAACAGTGGAAAAACGGGTTAATGACTTGTGCCATAATATCCTGGAGGCTACGAGCCAAACTACTGTAGCCTACATAAACAAAAAACTACTCTTGCTTTCACTCCTACCAACCTGTCAATCCAGGTTGCAACAAAAATGGTTAAACCCCACTGACTAAACCTCAAGAATGTCATCGGTCTGGTTTGTGTCGCTAACACGTCGCGTCCTACCCGCGGACAGAACGGAGGCAGTGGCCCCAGGGTCCTCTCTCTGCAGATCTGTGATCAGGTCACCACACTCATCAGCATGGGTCGGAGGAAGAACAGACACTTCTCCTTCCTGGACGGCAATGGGACCTCCAGAGCCAAACGGCCATATTTGTACTTCAAAGACACATCTGCAACACATTGGAGGGGAAAATCTGCCATCAGAAGGGTTGAGCTTGCATTTGTTGTATGCTATATATCTTGAGCACAGATCATCAAGTCATCCTGTGCCATTAAATTATCAGGAGAGATTGTAAAGTCACAAACGAGGCAGCTATGCAACATACTGCAATTTATTATCATGTGGATGTAGTAACTGTATATTACCACTGGAGGGAGGGAGTGTACTGTAGAAAAGAGTGTGACAACTTCCATGTAGAGGCAGCCTCTGTTGAACCTGAAAGAAAGAGAGAGCATTACCAGTTTATTCTCTTTGTTCTTTGGACTCAAAAGGTGCATCCCTTCCTTGGTAAACTGCCACATCAGCTGACACTGGAGTGTAAACATCCTCCTCATCCTGAAAAGAAGGACCTGAAATAAAGATCTGCTCAACAGCAGCCTGACAACAACCACAACAATTGAGTTTTCTGTGAATTTGGCTTTGCTCTGAGAGTGCTTTTACGCTAATATGATTTTCTTCTCTGACAATCGCTGGCTTTTGAACTGCTTTTCTAAATTGTGTGTAATCTGACCGGCTGATAGGACAGATTGTTCGGATTCCAGCTCCTTTTTGCTGATGCATGACTTTTCATTAAGTTAATTAAATCTTAGGCTGCAGCCTTTAATGCTTAATGAAGTGCCAGTGTGTCTTTCAATAAACAAGTACCATCACAGCAGAAGGTTTTAGTCCCTCCCACACTCCTGACAATACAGAGGGAATCCATAGGAAACAGCTCAATGTCCTAGCCAGCTGGAGTACTTCTCTGTCCTGTACTTTACATTCTGTGGGCGAAGTCCTTTTAGTTTACATGCAAACTTATATTTCTACTCAATATTTAAAGCCTTTAGGACGTGCCACAAAGCAGCAATTTTAGCATGAAGCCACAAACTTTACTGTGGACAGTTATCTCAAAATCTCCATGCGATTAAAAATATCAAAACCAAACCAACACAGACGTATTAAAAGGAATCGTAACAACAACATTAATAACTATTATATGTTCATAATAATAATGGATTCATGATATTATGTCCTCCTCCTACTAGGACTATTTCTTACTAAAAGCTCAACACTTCACAACAACAACAACAGAATCCCATCGATAGTATTTCCATTTGGCTGAGAGTCCGACGGGCCCCAAAAAATATATCTTTCTCCAACTGCCATCTAGGGATGTGGCCCCCACTCTGTCCCACCCTTTTGTCCTCCAGTATGTTCAATCAATATCACAAGAGGACACCCACACTCCACTGGATAGGAGATCACTCTTTAACAGGAAAAACATTCATATACATGCAGTAACTGTAGAGTAAATGTCCACATGACCAGAGACTTTTGTATGTGGTAACATGAACCATGTTACTGGACTACAGTGGCTAAAACAAGA